AAACAACAACCATAATATGTACACAAATCAAGCGGGGAGAAAAGAAATGAAAAATAAATTTGTTAAATTTAATTAAATATTAAAAAATTCAAAACTAATTTTTGTTTATATATGGAATAGATATTAGGCAATAATAGCAGAAAAATAAATAGTTAACTATTAAATGAGTTGTTAGACATTTTTGTTTGTCAAACGAAAACGAATGTATAGTACAAATAAAATATTTAAACAAATTATTGGCTTATTCTTTTTCTACATTCGGTACTTTTCCAAACACATATGATTCCTTTTGGTGTTCTCAATCTTCTGCATGCTGTGTTTTGTCCAATTTTTATTCCAATTGGTATTGCAAAAACAAAATATAATTGGCGCTGTGTAACCGCTGAAGTGATTTTCGGCCAAGCTCCTCCTCCGTGGGTATCTGGTCCATATTGCGGAGAGAAGTGTAAAATTCTTCGTAATCTAAACAAAAAGGCATCAATATACCGATTTTCAGATAAATCACTATTATCAGTGGAAGTCAGTCCTCGTATAGTTCCCAGAGTGAATAATGCTGTTCTTTCTAAACTAAGGAAAAATCCACTTATGTAACAAATATCAAGTGATTCGAATTATGATACGAGTTTTCCGAATAGGTCAGCCTTTGAAAACCTTTCCAGGAACCATATAATTTTTACTTATGTCTTAAAAAAATACATTTTTATTTACAACATAAATACAAGATTTTCAAATGAAAGGTTTTATTTTGATATTTAAAGAAACTATTCCTTCAAATGATCAATGGTTTTATTGCTTGTGTGGCAAATAGCGCAGCTTTGTTGAAAATAAATGTTGCCTAGATCAATACCATCCAATTCCGGCCATAAAATATTATTAATCATCCCGCGAAAGCGAAATCAATTACTTTTCGAATGAATAAGGTTCAATGATCACGCCGGATCATAAACCGTCTAAACATAAATTTGGGTTTTCCGAACCCCAGTTGCGACAGTTAAGATTAGTTTTTGATGAAATTTTATTATTGGAAAACCCTTTAATCGTTAAAATTACTTCTACTGATTTTTCTCATATAGTTTTTTTTTGTTTTTTCTTGTTGTTTTTCAATAAATTAGGCCATGAAAAAATTTATGTCCATTGTTTCAATTCAAAATATGTACATATATTTGACAATTTTTTCTTGATTCACTGATGCACTATTCATTGACTGATATTTATGCATAAATTATAGGAACTTCCAAATATAATATATACAAATATTTTCCAAGGTAAACTTTTATCAAGTTCTAAGAGCTGATAAGATAATTTAAACTTTTCAATTTACCCACTCCAGAAGGCACTGTGGGGCGTGGCGTATGGGTGACTTTTTCCACCACTAATAAATGTTCAATCCAGTACATATATATATATATTCAATGCAGCCTCACCCGGTAGGCAAAAAGGATTTGCATACATGCATATTTGTGTATATGTATATATTGTGTATATGTATATAAATAAAATTGTCAATAGCAAAAAAAAAATTACCTAATATTATACACACGTTTTTATTTGAACATTTGTTATTAGTTTGCGCGATAAAAAACAATATCCAAATAGGAGTTGCTCGAAGCAAATTAATATAAACATAAATAAAAGCAATTTAAATGTAAGCATGTTTTTGTAAGCTTTTGTACATATATATATATATATATATATATACATATATATAGTAAGTACAAAAATGACTAAACTGTAACCATAACAGTTCAACAACTCAAAAAAACAATTATTTACTACTCATTTGCACTTCACTTGTACAATGCGCGACGTTATTTGTCATTTGCTAAAGGCAAATATATTATAATACCATTCGTTTTTATCAAACTGGACTCATGATGCCATCGGCGCTCAAATCTTCTATCTTTGCTTAGTCTCTATAGGTGATTTTGTTCACTTGATTTCAAAATTTAAGATTGCTAATTAGCCTAACCCTGACTGCGGGGATTGATTTTCGAACCTTCAAAGCCTTTAAATCTTAATAATATGCCAGTTCATGATTCATCGTAAAAACAATTAGCTTTTTTTTAATTATTTATTTCATATTTATTTAAATTATTTTGCAATTTCATGAAGTATATTTTACAAACTTTCTGCTTCCTGAACAATCCATGATCGTAATTCGGGAATATTAGTTAAGACAGATGGATTGCCCTTGTTGCCACAGCCATAACCCCAAGATACTAAACCAACCAATTGATTGTTGACCACAACAGGATTACCATTTAGACCACCACAAGCTTGGCTATTCGTAGCAAGGCCGCACAACATTGAATCCAAAATCTCATCCTCGCTGTACTTGTAATCACCGGAACCACATACTTCGGCACTCAATACGCTCACATTAATATCTACAAGAATATCGTTAGCAGCCCAGCCAGTAATGACACCGCTTGCACCACTTGATGGCTCACTGGAAGCTAACTCGATGGCATCAATATCCACTGATTCGGCCAATTTCACAACGGCAACATCACTTTCCATAGTGCTGAAATCATAGCTGGGATCGAAGCCATAGGCAGCAATTTTTACAGTTTTAGCGCCATTGTTAAGACCAACCAGCAATTCGGAAACTTCGTATGTATCCAAGCAACTGGCAGTAGTCACAACTGTTGTTGAATTGATCAGAGCTCCACCACAGATGCGTGAGCCATCGCTATTTTGCACGGAAACGATGTAAGGATGTGCTGCAATGGTTGTTGCTACGCCACCCTGAATGTCTTCAGCGTAGATATTGCCAACGCAGGCTGCGATCACGAACAAGAAACTGCAAACGAATAATTTGGCCATTTTGAAAATAAGGCTACTTCTCTTTCAAACTCTGTTTGGATTGGAGTGAAAGTTTAAACTATACTCTAATTGGGATTTCTCATGCCTTTATATACAGTTCTTAGCGCATTTAGTTTGGTTATTAATAGACGTGTCTAAGATGTTAACATATGGTTATCTGAATATGCTTGTGTAGAGCAAATATGAAAGACATAATTTTCCGCAAAAGAATAAATGTAGGGGCATATGTACTCGCAAATATTTACTTATACCCATTTAGCAATTGTGATGCTTGGTGATAAGAACCATTCGAACTGAGCAGCCGCGTTTATCATTATCGAAAGAAATAAAATACAATTTTTACTAACCGAATAACAACAACAAGTATATCATTGATGCAAGCTTTTCGATATCTTTGTTGTAATCATGACATGTGCCTTGATCTTAGACAGTTGATTAATATTAAACGACTCCACAAGATTTTGAGAGCCCTTTGACTTAGTAATTAATTTATTGATTTGTAATTTGTTATGAATATAGTTTCGCGATTTCCTTAAACAAAGTGATAAAAATAATTCTTTTTTGATTTCAAACATATTTTTTGCTTTTGTTTGACTAACCAAAATGTCAAGCTCTCCATTTAACGGTTGTTTATATTAATTTTATTTGCACAAATGTGCATGAAATTTTAGTTATAATTCTGGAAATTACTATTGCTTAACTTACCTTCCGAATTAATTCCATTATTGGAGTTTTAATAGCTGAGTACACTAGTCTAGTAAGAAACGATATCAAAAATGCATTCTTGTTGTCGGATTTTTCTATTACGCCTTATTTGTTAAATTTTACGGTTTTGTACGAAATATGCGAGAAATTATTATTAGCATAGCCTCAGACTCTATTTTCATTCACGTTTTTTGGAAAAACTTAGTATTAATTTGGATGCCGTGCTTAATACGTGGAAAATAATTAAAACAACCGTGAAAAGAAGAAAATTTTTTGCAGACTAGTGTTATCTGCAAAGTCTGATAAATAAATTGATTATGTAATAATCTTTGCTTAAGCGAAAAAAACAATTGTTTGAAGAAAATTTGCTGTACACTGAAAATATTACTGAATTTCTCTCACTTTTTTATTTAATTTAATTTTATTTTATTTTAATTTATTTAACTTAATTTAATATCATTTTTTATAATATAATTTAATTTAATTTTATTTATATTATATTATTTTTTCATTTTATATTATTTTATTTTTTATTTTTTTTATTTTTTTTTTTAATTTAACTTTAGTTTATATTAGTGTAATACTTTTTTTACATTAATTAATATATGATTTAATTGAATTTGATTTTATTTTATTTGGCCTTATATTACTTTATTTTATTTTACTTTATTTAATGTTATCTTATTTTATTTTATTTCGTGTAATTTCTTTTTTTAATTTTAATTTTAAAATTTTTTTATTTTTAATTTTTTTTTTTAAATCTTTCTAATTTAATTAAATATTATATTTTCTATAATTAAATTAATTCAACTTTATTATATTTTTTAATTTAATTTAAATTTAATTTTATTATAGCTTATATTATTTTGTTTTCCTTTGTTTTGATGATGGGGTCTGCCTCTGGTTCCAATAAGTCTTTTGGCCTAAGGCGTGGTAGGCTTGACCACCGCTATAGTATTTTTTGTGCGGTTTTGTGAAGTTGTTTGCCTACGCAGATAAGACTGAGATTATTGACGGCTTGGAAGACAATAGCACCATTTCAGTGACATACAGCCGCCATTGCAGCTAAAAGTGATCGGCTTGAGTTTTTCCAAGCCAGCTGAGGCAGTCAATTTTAAGACATAATGGCAAACCCTTTACTTTATGATTACTCTAATTTTTTGGCTTTAAAAGAAAATTATTTACATTTAAAAACCACATATCTAAAAAAATAGACTTTGTTTATGCTTTTTGTAAGTGATGACAAAGAAATAGATATTATAGCAGCTGTGTAAGTAAAACTAAAAACAAATTCTTTTATATTTACTCTGCATTAGCATAAACAGTAGCTTAGACACGTATGCTAATAATCAGAAAAATGGCGCTGAGAAGAGTATATAAGCACAAGAAAAACTGTAGTAGAGCATAGTTGAAATTTTTACATCAAATCAAGCACAGTTTGAGAGAGAAGAAGAATTATTATTTTTAAAATGGTCAAGTTTTTCGTTTGCAGTTTCTTGTTCGTGATCGCAGCCTGCGCTGGCAATGCCTACGCTGAAGCCATTCAGGGTGGCGTAGCCACCACTAGTTCTGCTCATCCTTACGTTGTCTCCTTGCAGACTAGCGATGGTACACGCATCTGTGGTGGCGCTTTGATCAATACCAAAAATGTTGTGACCGCTGCCAGTTGTTTAAGCAACTACGATGTCTCCCAATTGCTGGTTGGTGTTAATAATGGCGCTAAAACTGTAAAAATTGCTGCTTCCGGCTTCGATCCCAGCTATGATTTCACCACTAATGAAAATGATGTTGCCGTTTTGAAATTGGCTGAAGCAGTGAGTGTGGGTTCCATTGCATTGGCTTCCAGTGCTCCATCAAGTGGCGCAAGTGGTGTCGTTACTGGCTGGGCTTCTGGTAGTAGTCTTGTAGATGTTAATGTGAGCGTATTGAGTGCCGAAGAATGCGGTTCCGGTGATTACAAGTACAGCGAGGATGAGATTTTGGATTCAATGTTGTGCGGTCTTGCTACGAATAGCCAAGCCTGTGGTGGTCTAGCTGGTAATCCAGTTGTGGTCAACAATCAATTGGTTGGTGTAGTATCTTGGGGTTATGGCTGTGGCAACAAGGGCAACCCATCTGTCTTCGCTAATGTAGCCGCATTACGCACATGGATCAATAAGGAAGTAGCAAGTTTGTAAAATGTATTTCAAGAAATTGCAAAATAAATAAAATAAATAACATAGTTTGCTTTGGAATTGCTACAAATGCTTATATACGTAAGTATACAAAAATATGTTCACATATTATATGAATTGTTTTTATATATGTTTATATTTATTTGCTTGGAGCAACTCCAATTTGGATATTGTTTTTCATCGCGCAAAGTAATAACAATTGCTCAAATAAAAAGTGGGAATAACATTAGGTATTTTTTTTTCACTTTTAACAATTTTATTTTATATACATATACACACATATATATGCAAATCATGCAATATGCAATCATTTTTGCATCCAGCACTGCATTCCAGTGTATTTTATTTGCAGTGATAAAAGTCACTCATACGCCATGTCCCACAGTGCTTGCTACAGCACGCAAAATTGAAAAGTTTAAACTTTCTTGATACAATTTTGGCAAGGTAATACATTCAGTTCAGCCTGATAAAAGTTTGCCTTGAAAAATATTTGTATATATTCGGAAACGTCAAGGAAGTTCATACATTTCATGCGTAATTAGCAGCCAGTGAATAGTGCACCAGTCTATCAAGGAAAATTGTGAAAAATATGTACATATTTTGATTTGAAACACTGGGCATATATATATTCATTGCTTAGTATATTGGAAAACCACAACGCTGTATTTAGGTTGTGCTCGAAATATGATTATTTTTTTATGATTTTTAAAAAATGTAATTTTTATCTCGTAAATAAAAAAATATATATGAAGTCATGTTTCTTTAGTAAATATTTAAATGAAACTATGATATATATATTTACATATTTAATAAAACTTTCCACAATTTAACACCAATTCAATGCGCCATGCTCAATTTATTATCCATCTATTTGAAATTTAAGAATTAATCCTTGTTAAGCTAAACGGAAATACATATATTTTTTGTTTTACTGAAAGTGACTTATCTAATAAACTAGTATTTGAGAGGTTCAAATCTTCAGTAACAAACATTAATAACTACGTAACACGCAGGCGATCGTAAATGGATATTATTTATTATACAAATTATTATTATTTTATGATAAATAGAGTCAACTGTCGTGTCTGGGAGTTTATAAGCAAACGAAGCTACAGCTTAGAGCACATTTAAAAATACAAATTAAACTGGATATAGTAAATTCATTCTGTTGTGGTTGATGGCTCACGCATTTGTGGTGGTAATCGGTTGTTGATGGCAGGCAAATAGATGGAAGTTATAAAGCAGGCAAGGCATGACCACTCGATAAGAAAAACATTGAACATTGAGCACGTGAAATGTGTGTCTTCAAGGTAATACAAGTTCTGATAGCCCAATATCTTCACAATCAATGTGTTCTGCCTTATGAAATTATTACATCAAACTTGAGAAACACCAAACGAAGCCAAAGGGAGTGGTGATACCTCTCTTCCAGTATTCTCATCTTTGTGTTATTAAAAAGGAACAACGGTCTTTACAAAAATAAACATATCTGGAATGGGAGCCATCTGTGTCATCTGAGAATCAGGCAACCTATCCCTACACTAACAGCTTCATGTATTCACTGCTGTTGTCCGTGTACGAAGAGAACCGCTTCGTTTGCAGCTGATGAACTGCTGATATGGCTACTTGTGCCAGTTGCTGTGCTGGTCCTTAATTAAGTAGGAAATGCACACTTTAATTCTATGGCAATTTGAATTAACGAAAACTATCTCCGGACTTAAGCAGCAACCCTCTTTTGCTAGCATGAACACTATACTATTTTACTATCTCTGAGAATTTCCCCGTTCTTGAAGTACTGTAATAAATTAAACAAACCGAAAAAATTGTATAAAAATATGCTATACGCCGCTAATCGGCTATCATTCTTCGACAAAGCAGCAAAAGAGGACAATGACGATTTGCGCTCTTTGCAACTATATCGCCTTCTTGGCGCTCAGCTTTATCGCTTTAACCTACGCGGGCAGGATTTCCCTAGATGAACTCGAAACCATAAGCGGTGGTGAGGGCATAAATGGACGCATCGTTGGCGGCAAAGTAGTTGACATAAGAAAACATCCACATCAGATCAGCTTGCGACAAAGACCTAAATACTCTGAAGACCAGTCAACATATGCACACAACTGCGGCGGCACCATCTATACGGATCGTATTGTGATCACAGCAGGACATTGTTTGTATGACAGAGTGAAGGAGCAACTAATGGTGGTGGCAGGCGCAAATGAACGTAGCAGCGTTGATGGTGCAATATCACCCGTACAGGAGATCATAATGCATGAGGAATACAATGACGATTATTCCTACAATGACATTGCTTTGTTAGTGCTTACTACACCGTTGCCAATCAATAATGTCACCATTAAAGCAGCGACCTTGACGGAGGTGCAGCCGCAACATGGTGATATAGCTACGATAACCGGTTGGGGTACACTCTCATCAGGTGGTTCCTTACCTGATTTGTTGCAGGAAGTGCAAGTGCCGATTGTGAGCAATGAAATTTGTAGTCAACGTTATCCACGTCGAATTACAGATGCAATGATCTGTGCGGGCATACTGGATGTGGGCGGCAAGGATGCCTGTCAAATGGATTCGGGTGGTCCTCTTCTGATCCATGGCCAATTGGCTGGTGTGGTGTCTTTTGGAAGCGGCTGTGCGCTGCCTCAATATCCAGGTGTTTACGCGAACGTGTGGTATTTTTCGACGTGGATCCGGGAAAAAGCTGCGCAGGTGGAGGCAAAGTTATTAAGAGAGAATTAAAGAAATACTATGGATTTGGTGTTCAAAACTTTTTATAATAATGGTGAATAAAATTTTAAGTTGAATATATCTGAGTTAATGTTCCTCAAGAAAACTTTTAAATTTTCTGCTCAATGCAGAGTAGCACTTGTAGTCAAGTGGGAATCAGCGCTGTATTTCAAAATTGATATTGTTGTTGTTGTTGTTGTTGTTGTTGTTGTTGTTGTTGTTAATATTGGTTCCAAGACATGCGAAATTATCTACGACCTTTTAGCGAATACTTTATCTTTTAAACTCATTTCTCTATTCAACATTAGTGAAGAGTATTTACAGTTTTTCTCTGCGTAAGATTTCAAATTTGAGGCCCGGAAACTCCTACTTCTATACCTTGTATTGCTGATAACACATTCGTAGTAGATAATAAATTAATTTAAAATAAAAATCGAGATAATAAATCCATTGAATATACAAATATATGAAAAATATTATCAGAAATCGGGCAACCTTGCTATTAAAAATATCAAACGTTTCCCCAACCCACCAGACGAGATTATTTCTACCACAACCAACGTAAATTTAAATAAAAAATTAAAAAAAAATATATATACGTTTATTTTGGGTTTCATTATCACGTCAACAGTCAACCATAACGCGGAAGTAATAGCGAAATATCAGAGTCAATTTAGCAATGGTTAAGAGCGCCTTTCATATTGTTAACCTCCTTTGGGTTATGAGTTTACTGACTGCTTGCCACGCAGGTACGAATGCACGCTATAATTTTAAGGCAGCACATAACGTTCAAGGCATAAATCCACGAATTGTCGGCGGCCAAGTAGCGGATATCGCCAAATATCCACATCAGATTAGTTTACGTGAAAGAGATCTGAATGTGAGGGACGAACCATACCAACATTTGTGCGGCGGCAGTATCTATTCGGCGCGCATCATCATCACAGCTTCGCACTGCGTAAACGGCACCGAGGAAAGTCAACTCGTCGTCGTGGCGGGCGCAAATCAACGTGCAGGCGCCGATGGCGTTATTACACCCGTCCAAGAGATAATTATGCATGAAGAATATGATGACAGCGATGGTAAAAATGATATTGCTTTGCTGGTGCTTACCACCGCATTGCCAATCAATAATTTCACCATTAAGCCAGTGCAATTGACGAGTGCACAACCACAAGAAGGCGAAATGGCCACAGTAACTGGTTGGGGTTTGAATGGTCAACACGAACTGGCCGATTTATTGCATGTGGTTACAGTGCCAATTGTGAGTAATACAATTTGTAGTGAACGTTATGGGGGCAGCATAACTGATGATATGTTGTGCGCGGGCTTGTTGGATGTTGGCGGTAAGGATGCCTGTCAAATGGACTCAGGCGGCCCGCTGTTGGTGCATGGTAAATTGGCTGGTGTGGTGTCATGGGGTTACGGCTGTGCGGAGCCTAAATTTCCGGGCGTTTATGCTAATGTTCGGTATTTCTTGCCGTGGCTGAGCGAAAGGATTACCAAGGTCGAAGCGAAACTTAAGGAAGAACATTAATAAATCTGTGCGTAAGCTGAGAGACGAGTGTGTTTGAAGTAGCTGTGATATGGAAACGTTAGTAAATAAAAAAATGAAAATAAGAAATGAAATGATTATTTTAAGCTAATCCTTAAGTGTAGCCTTGCTGTGAAGGGTGAAATTCTGGTCGATATATTCAGATAGCCGAATCTTCGTTGGTTCCATGGTTAAGTAAGGACTTGTTTGTATTATTAGAGTGCCAAATGAAGGTTTACCCTAAGCAGAGGGAGCGTGATTTTCTCTGAGAACTCCGACGGAAGAAACATAAAAATGCAATAAATAATCATTTAGGGTATGGGGAACAATACACATAACTCAAGGCGCAGGTAGTAGGTATTTTATGAAAGTAGGCGGCGTTCTCACAAAAAGCCTCTTCTTAGCCTTCTGCCGGCAGACCTCTATGGAAAACTGCATGTGCACCACAACGGCTTATAAGATTAAGTGCAGCTCAACCAGGGAGGAACCGCACAGCATACGGCCAAATATTAATTTCTACATCATTCCTTCTTCTGCTTTGACAATACATTTTCAACAAAAGTCTCACAGAGGAAGAAATGGGGAAAATGTAAATTTTATGTATCAAAAATCCGTGGTCATTTTCACTGATGGCTCGAAATTCGAGAGACTTCCCGACCATTGCCGCATATTTCAAGCTGTGATTTTGTATTTGCAATACAATCATACCTCATCTAAGCTGCAGAGAAATCCTAACAATTTTTGTATGTGAAATGTTTGACGAGCTGGTAAGAAAAGATACAAGCGCAATCTTCCTCAAAATACCTGCTAACATCGGCCTTCACCTATAGGGCCAATGGCAGTTGGCAAGATGAAATCACTTGCTATGTGACAAGACAAATCGAGTCATTGATCGAATTGAATTAATTCTTTACTCCTTCTAAAGAGGACCTCCATAAGTATAACAACCGGCGTACTAAGCGGACTCACAGTAGAAGGATGGGCTGCTTCTCAAACGACATTTGCCTAAACCTTATAGATGCGAACGTTTTGCTGGAATATTACCACTGCCTCTGCCCAGCTTTCAGTTCGGTCCGCTATCGTTTTCTTGAAAATTTCAACTACGACTGCCTTGCCGAGCTTGCATCTTTAGCCATCATCAACCTCCTGATGTTCGAAAAACACGTGAAGTAGTTTGAGTATCTGGAAAGGTGAGTGGAATTTCCTTATTGTAAACAAACAGCGAATACGGCAACAAAACAACTAAATTTTGACAGTTCGAATAGTCCCAAAAAAGTGCAAATTTAGCAACTCTGCAACATCAGCAGAGCGCCACCTAGCTTTCAGTAGAAATTAACATAAGCACGGAGCCTCATAAATTCAACGACTCTATCTACTCTATCTACTCACTAGATTGTTATTAAGTTTCACTTATATAAACTATTCATGAAATTCGCTGATTTCCCTTTAAACAACAACACTAATCACGTAATCAATAGCGCACTTTATCAGCATGGCTAATAACATCATAAATTATGATAATTCAATTAAACTTGAGAAGAAAAAAGTCCAAAACCAGCGATTATCAGTAACAAAACCCAAATCAAGTGATTAGCAGCGATAAGACGTCAATTATGGCAAATTCTTAAAAAAAAATGCAACTCCATCAAAATTTTGTGCCGTAAGAGCGATATTCATTAGCCTTTAGCAACCCAACACAAGTCAGTCTTTGGCCAACCGAACGGCCAACAAGTTAAGTCATTTGAAATTAGTTACTTTAAATTTCAAGCGCAGCTACGCAATGAAATCCTTCGTCCTCATCAACGCTATTCTGGCTTTAGCCATCATCTGCACAACCGCGGCACGCACATTCAATAAAGTGGACAGCGTTGAGGCGCCCGAATTGAGCAATACCATAGACGGACGCATTGTTGGGGGCAAAACTGTTGACATAACTCATCATCCACATCAAGTAAGCATGCGTTACAAGAGCATACTACACGCCGAGTACGCGTATTCGCATAATTGTGGCGGTTCGATTATATCCGAGTGGATGGTGGTGACAGCAGCACATTGTGTCATCGGCAAGGTGGCAAGTCAATATCAAATTGTTGCTGGCACTAATCTAAGACGAAGTTGCGATGGTGCACTTGTGCCCGTCAAGGAGATCATCATGCATGAGGATTATCAACCAACTCTCTATAATAACGATATCGCAATTGTGGTACTCGCTGTGCCATTGCCAATTAATAATGTTACCATTAAAGCGATCGGGTTGTATAATAAGCCCGCAGAAAATGGTGTTATATCTACGATAACCGGTTGGGGTACACTTCAGTCTGGTGGCAGCAGTCCTTACTATTTGCAAGAAGTCCAGGTGCCGATTGTCAGCAATGAGTTATGCAAAGAGGATTATGGTACAAATCGTATTACGGATGCTATGTTATGTGCTGGTGTACGCGGTGTTGGTGGCAAGGATGCCTGTCAGGGTGATTCCGGTGGTCCGCTGTTGATCGATAACCAGTTAGCTGGTGTAGTGTCGTGGGGTAATGGCTGTGCACGTCCTGCTTATCCTGGTGTCTATGCTAATGTCACACATTTACGGTCTTGGGTGCTTGAAAAGAAGGCGTTGGTGGAGTCTAGATTGCTTTTGGAAAATTAGGCGACGATTTTTAGTTTTTGGTGTACAAGTTAATGTATAAAAGATAATTCAAGCTCTCAAGCAATAAATGTACATATGTTATTTATATGTGTGTTGAAATTGAATTCTATTCTGTTCTTTAAAATAAACTGAGTTCAGCCCTTACTCTTGCTCAAAGTTTCATTTTGTGAATTTCAATTGTCATAGATTCCATTAGATGGGACTCAAACACGCGTTTAAATACGTTTGGGAAATAGGGAAATCCTTCTTAATGTTTGATCTGACTTATGATATCGGATTCCATATGTCTGCAGCCTTCTTGGCGTTATTTTATTTTACTACTTCAAACGCTCTCGAATTCTGCAAATTTCCTAACTCATTTTATTTGATTTCTATATAAAGGTTTTTATTTTGAAGGTGATAAATATAAAATTTCAGCAGTTTTATCACCATAACCCCAGTAATTTTCTTAATACATTACAAATATAAAAACTGCGCCACAAAGTATGCAACCATCACAAATGTGGCCTACATTTTGGCGATTTGTAAAACTAATATTTTTAATAAACTACCTGGTAAATAAATCTATAACTTAAGCATCCCGATGGCAAGGCTATTTCACAAAACTTGTTATGTTTTATTACCGGTCTCGCCAAAAAAAAGCACTTAACACAAGCAATATAATTTACAAGTATCATATAGAACAAAGGGCAAGGTAAGAGTGGTGTATTTTTCAAAATATTTGTGTTAAGTTGACCACAACCACGTTATGCGATACCATTGATAAGAAACAGACGTATATACAAAACTACAAAACTATAAAATAATTCAATTTCATATATAAACCCTGTGAGAAATTTTACACTTGATTATGACTGGTTTAATCTTAGACATTTTGATTGAAAAATAAATGTAGATACCCAATAAAGATCTTTGGAGTCTAACTTCGTTGTTAGTAAGAGTTAAAAGTTAATGAGCATGTGCCTAAGTGTGCATTGCTCAATCGGTAAACAGGGCACCCCATAGTCTGCTTCAATTATTGTGGGATAAGTCTGCTTAATATCGCATTTAAGGTTCTATAGAAAGTACTTGGTGGGATTTATTAGATCTTTTCAGTATGGACTCAGTCCTGGCAAACCCATTAATGATCTGATATCAACGATACGTCAAATCTCGGAAGAGACTTTGGAAAAAGAATTGAAACATAAGAAGTTGTAAAACTTAGACGGCTGTGTAAGCTGACGCTGAGCTTCACCAAAAACTTCCTCAGTATCGTATAGGACCGCATCCAGCCACACAACACTAAACGGCAAATAAAACCAAACCAAAATTAATGATACCCTTTCTGCTGTTTGGTACAGAAGCATGACCGATGACAAAACTCCTTGAGTCGGCGGTAGGAGATTTCGAGAGAAAAGTTCTGCTGAAGATTTTTTTCTTTGCGCTTTACTAAAGCCAAATACCAGAGATTATGGAACGATAAGCTGTACGAGATATATGACGTCATTTTTATATTTCAAACGTTTGCTAGGTTATGTCGTCCGAATATTTGAAAGCAATACAGTTTTGAAAACATGAGATCCAGAAGCGGCAGCAGAAGAAGCGGTATGGAGGAGGAAATGAACGACGTACTGTTGTTAATTCAGCTAAGATCGTGTAGGCAATGCATGCTCCAATGAAGAAAAAGTACACACTCATATATCAGGGTATTCTCGAAGCTTTCAAGATCTCATGAGTCCGCGTTAAGAAGCAAATTATGGAAAGCCTAGAGCTTTTTTTCCAAAAGAGATCGGGACTCGGCAGAGAATGTGAGTCCATTAGCCTCCCGAAGGTGGCTCAAAGCTCTAACTCGATCGCAGCTGAGTGTTAAGACGGTAAATTTATTAGTTGTGATTCAAAAAACCAGAAATGTGTTGAATAATTTACGACATAAATATGAGTGGTCGACACAAAAACAAGTAGTAATTATAAAAAAGAAACTATAACTTGGGAAATTCAAATACAAATAAATGCGATAACACTAGATTGACTTATGAAAAGTTACGATAAGTTAAAATACTTGTAGAAAATATTATATCTACAAACATTGATTTTGCGTTCCCTTCCCTTTTTGGTTAGCCTCTTTTGGGGTTTATTGAACGGACTTTAGTATCAAATTACATTCGTTGCCTAACGGTAGTACTTTGTCGTGAACAATGGCGCTCGGAAGTACACTTCAATACGTTCTCCTCTTGGCCTGCTGCCTCTCCATCGGCTGGACGACGCACGCAACACCACAAGCACGCATTGTCGGTGGCGTCACTGTGGATATTAATAGCGCGCCGCATTTAGTTACGATACGTTACAAACGTAACGCGACAACAGCCTTCGAACATCGCTGTTCCGGCACCATTTACACGGAGAACATCATACTGACCACAGCACGTTGTGTCGTAGGCTTGAAGCGTCAACAGCTGTTAATAGTTGCCGGTAGCAGTTATCGTGCACAGAGTGATGGCTCTGTGTACGGTGTCAATTCAATTGTCATACATCCAGATTTCGATATTTGGTTTATAGATAATGACATGGCATTGATATATCTAGCAAATGCGCTCACCACACAACAGCCTAAGGTGATTCAGCCCATAAAGTTGGCGGCCGCGGTGCCGGCTGTGAATAGTACCGCAACGGTGGCTGGTTGGGGTGCTGCTGCGGAGTATGCTGCGTATGAGACGCAATTGCTGGAGGCTAATGTACGTATCATAGCCGAGGCGCAGTGTAAAAAAGCTTATGGCGCAGGACGCATTAGTGCGGCTATGTTATGTGCGAGTGGTACGAACGCGAACGGCGGTATAATCGATGCTTGCCAAGGTGATGCCGGCAGCGCGTTGGTTTTCAACGGCACCGCTGTAGGTTTGGTATCATGGGGCAATGGCTGCGGTCGTGAAGGTTATCCTGGTGTCTATACGAATTTGACGCACTTCAAGGCTTGGATTGAGAGCGAGGCGAATAAGACAGTGTCAGAAAATTGATATCCAGTTAGAAAACGTAATTATATGAAGAAAATGTTTAAGAGAATTTAACTATTAAGATCGAAAGCCATTAATTAAATAAAAATTAGAGAATTCGAGTAATAACGAATATATCTAGTAGTTCACTGATAAGTATAATTCCAACATAACCAATCAGTGATAACAGTGACTCATAATCACAATTCAATGTCGATATATCGTTCAGTAAAAAAAAAATTAATTAATTAAATAAAAAGATAACCACATTGTTAAGTGTTTTTTTTCTTAAAAATAACATTCACTGCCCTTATCGTCGCATGAATCGCTGTTTTACTAATCTGCTATGTAGCTGACGTCACATAAATGATTAATAACAAGTTTTTACTATCCGTCATCTGGCGCTTCACTTCTACCTACCTTCTATAAGTGAAAAAGCAGCATTTTTCTAAATGTAAAGCTTTTAGTAATCCTCTAGAATTGTTTCCATAGTCAAAGCCAAATCATTTTAAATGATTAAACTGTTGTCTAAGCGGGTGGGGGAGAATGTGAAATATATTCAAGTTGAGCACTAGGCTCGTTACAAAAAGTTGGGACCTTACCCACTTTTACCTGACGCCAATCGCTTACTCAAGGAGCATGGATGGGAAGACGCAAACAGATCAGATAACAAGATATTTGACCTGGACCATTAGAAGGTAAATTCCATTGCAAACAATGAACACTTTAGCCATATCACTTCGCGGATCATTTGAGAATTGCATTCTTGCATCATTCATACATATATACTAGAAAGCAAAAATCCAAATAATAGGAAGCAATTAGCCAGCGCCCAAAGTTGTGCAAGGATTTAGGTTCCTCGCGTAAACAACTATGATAAAGTCATGGTATATCTCGTAAAGCTTATCATTACATCGCCATTGCCTGCCGCAAAACTTTTCTCCCCAAACGCCGACTCATCAGATGCCGTCATCATCCACTCTTTCCGTTGAGTACACATAACCTAATGAAAAATAGTTCAAAGATCTTGGAGGCCTTGCCACAGGCGCTCGACAAGAAATAATGCACTCACCATAAGTGTCTTTTATTGAAATCCATACGTCGGAAAAATGCACCTTCTACTATTCAGTGTTGATTCGAACGAACTTACGCTCAACCTCACTGGTTATAAAGTTCTTGTGATTTCGCTTCAGCTTTATCCTAATCGTTCACCGAATAAAAGAGAGTAATTATTATACGTTTTTTGGTTTTATGTTTCAATAAAATATTATTTTTTTGTCTATTGAAATTCATCATCACATTAAAGGACAGCCCTATTGGTTGGCCAAAAGCTGAAGAGCTTAAAAGCTCTTATCAAAACAATTGAAAAGTTGAAAAATGCATTATTGTTGATTAGAAGATTAAAAAAACACAGCAACAACTTCTGTTCTTCGAAGCTTCGTACATTCGAAAGAAAGAAATATGTTGGTAAATACTTCAACTAAAAACCATAAAGATCGTTATAAAAATATTCAAGCTATCGAAGGTGCATGGTAACTTTAAATAGCTTATCGTAATTATCGATCGATAAGCGAGTAAACGATAAATCAGTACAATAAAATGCGATAATCCGCACGAGCGGCCCCCACACGACAAATCATTGTTTTTACATTACAATTAGTCTGTGCGCGTGCCTTTAGGAGCTTAGACTTAGCAGTGAGCAACAAAAACAAATAGAAATGTCACGCATGAGTTGCGTTTTCACACTTGGCATCGTCCTCACAGCGCTAACCGTCGCTACAACGTTAGAAATACAACCCGCCATCATTGGGGGAAATGCGGTTGACATCGCCAAGTATCCCTACCTCGTTTCCATACGTTATCGCTTGGAGCCCAACATTGACCCATATTGGCATAAATGCGCAGGCGTCATCCTAACGGAAACGGCTGTGCTCACCGCCGCACAATGTTTACGTGAAATCCTGACGGAACGTGTTATGATCGCTGTTGCCGCTAATCAACGCAAAGGCAACGAAGGTAAACTCTACCCGGCTAGTAAATGGGTTGAACACCCCAAATTTTCTACCTACACTGCGGACTATGATATTGGTTTAATCTTCGTTGATTTACCTTTTGAATTCCACGGCAGCAGAACGATGGCGCGCAGCATTAGTATACGTGCAGAGCGGCCTGCGGTAAATCGTTTAGCTACTGTCGCTGGTTGGGGTTATCGTGAGGAGTTTGGGCCATCATCTAATCGCTTGGAGGAGACTAAAGTGCCTATTGTCAGTCAGGCCGAGTGTGTCGACATATATGGTGCTGGTGAGGTCAGCGAGCGCATGATCTGTGCAGGTAATGTGCGTACTGGTGGTCATGATGCCTGTCAGGGTGATACTGGCGGTCCGTTGGTATATGAGGGTGAGTTGGTTGGACTCGTCTCATGGGGACGTGGTTGTGCACGTCCTGGCTATCCGAGCGTTTACACATATGCCGCTAGTTTGAAGTCATGGATTGCTGAGGAGCTGCAGAAGGCGCAAGTGTGAGGAGAAAATGTAGAAAAGGTGCAATGATTAATTTTAATTTTATTTTTATATAGTAAGAAATTAATAAAATAATAAAACTGTAGAGATTTTAGAGCGAACTTTTACTCCGATTTGAGGTGTGTGTTTTGATACTTTTTTTAGAAAGGCGCACGAAGAGTAATGCATTGTTTTCGTTACCAAATATATTCTTGGCAATATCATACTAGTGCAGCGTCTTCCAAGCAGAGCTTGAAGCAATGATGTAAATCGCCGATCACCATAAATACGGATAGTCAAATTGCCGTCAGATCTCTTCAATGAAATTGCACCACATCAAAAGTGGCAGTAGTACTTAAAACAAGCTCTCGACTAGATGCAACACAGCCGTGGCCTGGAATCCTAGGGAACTCTCTGACGGACGAGCTAGCAAGAGAAGTTATCACTATCGTTGTTTACCGCAAAACTCAGGCTAAAGCTGGCTTTTACCAAAACAAGCAACACTAGATGGCTTAACCAATAGAGTTGTAACAAGACTAACGGGCGTAGGCTTGTGTTGGACGCTAAGAGATCAAGGTGTCTAATTCTCCAAGACCGTTCCACCATCAATACAACAACTGGTTTACTAATTGTACACAGTTTACTGCGGCTTCAGGGTAGGAGAACGATATAAATTATACTCAATTTGGGGACCCACATAAAAAAATTTTCAATTTCAGCTGCTTTCCCTGGATACAGTGCTCACTTCTATATAAAAATATATAAGCACAAAGTAAAACCTCACTCCCCGCATTAAAATAATCAAATCATTTTTTTTTTAATAATAAATTTCTTTTAGTAAGAGATTTTTACAAAAATGAATATTGATCAACAGCGATATCATCACTTTCAATTGCATCAGCTGTCGCCTCAATCCAGTCAGCCAAATCCGGCACTGACGAGTATACACCGGGGAAGTTGCTACTGCCACAGCCGAAACCCCATGAAACTACACCCAATTGTTCATTACCAACGATGAGCGGACCACCGGAGTCACCTTGGCATGCATCTTGACCGCCACCCTCAACAGCAGCGCAAAGCATACGCTTCGTCAGCAGTAAGAAATACGATCTGCGACACGTCGATTGTTCCACATAATCAACGGTCACCTGCTGCAGGGTTTCACTTAAGACACCACCACTCACAAGTGTGCCCCAACCAGTCACAGTTACGGGTGAGCCGCCTACTGGACGTTCCTTTGCTAACGCAATTGGCTGAATGAGTTCGTTATATTCCAATTTTTGTGCCAACACCAAAAGTGCCACATCGTAGTCATTCAGTGCGTTGTATTTTTCGTGTGCAATAATTTTCACAACTGGCACCTCGACACCCTGTTCCTTGAGTGCTGTTATACCGGCGACAATGGTGATGTTGGTTGGATCCTCATCGGAGACACAATGTGTAGCGGTCAGAATGATTTTCGATCGGTAAATGCTGCCACCGCAGAAATGACGTCCATTGTAACGCAACGATATCTGATGTGGATATTGACGTATTTCTGCGTCGGTGCCACCAACAATACGTCCACCAACGGTACCAGTGGTGTCAGCGTTTGCACAGCCAAAGGCTAGTAAAGCAACGACAATTAACTGGCCCAACATTTCCACTTAGTGTAGGATTTGTACTGTGGCAGAGGTAGCGTACACACTTAGCACTTATACTCGAAGATAAGCAGTCAATATAATAAATGCTAACCGACGTCATCTGACGCGGGAAAGGCTAATCTGTGGATGTAGTAAATCAATGCCAAATTATAAACTTGACTTGCAAAAAAAAAAAAAAGAGAAATGACCAAGAATATGGATTTAATAGCGATAAGATGGTTAAGGTAATCGTCGGAGTAGCAGTACATGCTGGGAGTCGGAGTAGCAATGGTTCAAGTGCCGCCCAGGTCAATGTCATGTCAGAAAATTTCAATCCCTTCGAGTGTACTTTTAATCTAGAAATCATAATTTTACATAAAATTCATTAACCGGGGCGTCCTAAAATTGTAAGTCCAGCCATTTGTTGAGACAACATCTTGTCTTACATGGCAAACCATAAGGGAAGTGCGGCCAAAAATCATTTAAGTGGTTTCAAAATGCTAATTATTTACTTATATGTGAATATGTATGTACATATAAGGGAAAACCAATTCAGATTATAGCAGATATACTCGTGCATACATACATGCATACATCTACAGTAGTTGGTAATCACCTGTGGTTGCTGGATAGTAGCCAAATTGTTTTATAAGAAACCGTAGCATACTTTTGGGCACTTTTGATTGTGTGATAATGACTTGCAAATTCTATACAAGGAGACAAGCTACTAGATGTAATTACTTGTTATGAAAAATGGTATGAATAAATTTATTTTTATTAAACATTTTTTATTTATAAACATTTATCTTCTTTCACGCTGTTCTTAACTCAGCTTTACCGCTTACGCGATTATAGCTGAGTTAAGAACAGCGTGACATTCATTACTTCTTTTCGCCGCTTGGTGCCAAATGGAAATACCTAGTGCAGCCAGTTGCTTTTCTACCTGATCTTTCCAAAGGAGTGGAGGTCTTCTTCTTCGGCCGAGTCATTCTATAGTTCTTCTATACCACGGTTATTAAAAATTAGTGTATACGGTCGTCTCAATAACAATAAAATGCTAAGAAATATGAATGACTCATGGTCACGCTGATTAGTGGTTCTTTTCATATTTGATTTAATCTGACTTAAGTCTAAATAATTTGTAGATAAATCCAAGTGGTTTGCCGGAAATTAACACGTTTTTGCATGTCACTGAGTGAGAACGAGGTTTTTGATGATTTCCGGAACAATTCGTGAATGGCGGAGGCTTTTTTTTTGACTCTGCAATTGTTTGAAAGAATAAGGGACAGTAAGAAACATTTACTGCTTGAAACTTCACGTCTACTACATTAATTTGAAAATCTATATCTTAGTAACTCGGGCCACAAACAATTCCGTTCTACCTATTTGATATTTTTTAAGAAGCATTTTCAACTCTGTCTCTCCACATAAGAGCTATGCCGTTTTTTTGAGTTAAAAACTGAGTTATTGGCTCTAGCGTTAGCTAGAAGAAGACTAAAACTTCTCGCAGAAACAAAATGAATAGATCGATCCTTTAAGTTTGATAGGAGTGCACGATGTCATGTGATAAGAATTAAGTACAAAATACATCTCATGTTGAGGTTTTTTGTAGCGGTTCTCCAATTCTTAGGTTTTAAGGGGCATGCCAAAATGTGGTTAATGTTGTGCGAGGTCTGATTGCATTCCAGACATACACATACAGTATGTCGAGAAGAGGTCTGGGTATGTAAGAATTATGTAGACTACAATATCCAGATATCAATTGTGGCAGCATTATTCGGATCTCTCGGGGCAGCTCGTCTACAATAGATGGTGTTTGGATTCGATGAATTTCATTCACTGGAAGAGAGTTGATGAACGACTGACATTTAAAGCTTGTTAGTACGCCATTCAGTCCAGATGTTTATGTCTAAGATGCTGAATGAAGTCTATATAGTCTTATACTTCCTTCCCGATGTGCCTAAGTTGAGATTCAGCCTTAAATAAACGTTTGTTGGGTGCTTCCAACAGAAGCATTCCAACGATAATGCTTGTACAGCATAACATTAGACTCCTTAGCTCGTAGCATAGATATTTGACTTTGTACGTGATGCTCCTGTATTCTGACATGCTCGCATCTTTTTCATCTACAACTCAGTAGTTAAGGAGTGCAGGTTGTCGAGTGAGAGTTCCAGTAACTTTGTTCTTTCGTTGTTAGTTATCAAAATTTTTGCTGCCTCCAATATCGGGCACTCATCGGCATATAAGATCTATGAAACACCCTCTGGTGGAGGAGAACCCCTTGTGTAATCAAACGGAATTTGGAAGTTTAAACCCAAAACTCTACCGATGACTGTCGACCACTTAAGCAGAACAAAGTCCACCTCTTCAACTCCGGCGGTAATGAAGAATACTCAATGTCTGATAGTAGCACTGAATTATTGATGACGTCAAAGGCTTTCGACAGATCCTGTCCACTTGCCAGTAGGGTTCGTGCGCAGTGCCGCGCAGTAAAATTTACAATGGTGTTATTCTTTGACGAAAGCGCGTTATAATAAAGAAGAAATGATAAATAAATAAAAAATTAAACGAAAATATATGTAAGAAAATATTAAGTAAAATATTTTTCGAACATCGAAATTCGAAAGTAGCTCTTAAAACGGTTTTATGGATTATTAACGTTATTCCAAGAATCTCGGGCGTATTTACATTTATACCTTTCAACGTGACTAATCACATATTTATGTAAAAAAAAGTTAATAAAAAAAAACAAGTCACATTTAGTTGGTAATTTGTACGGCAATTTTACTCAAAAGGCTACCGAAAAAAGTTTATGGTAGATATAAAGCGTTTAATATATAAATATATTTTCATTTGTGGTTATCTATAGATTATTTCGAAAGTATTTAAGTACTTTTTCTAAGACGAAAATTTTGCATGTATTTTTTGTTTTCTTATTATAATGTATATGTACATACATACTTACCATTTAATGCGATTATAATTTCTTTATGATGGATAATTTCTGCAATGTTATCTGCTTAAAATGTCATAAACTTAATCGGTTTGCATAGGAGGTAGGACGATAGCGGTCGTAAAGCTTGAAAGTGGTGAACGAGAAAGTCAAAGTGGTGTAACAAAAATCAGAAAGCGAATTTTTGGAGACTTTCGGGGAAATTGAAAGTTTTCAGTTAGCCTTGAAGCGATTAATTTAGGTTAGATAGAAGGTAAACCTCAAAGTTTATATATTAAAATATATTAACAAATTATATAATATATATAATTATAAGAGACCAAAGTATTGCTTGCAATTTGTTTCATATAATCGATTAATTGATATCGATTATTTTGTCTATTAAGTCAAAAAAGAGGTTTCAACTTTTTGAATTCATTTTTTATTTTTATTTATTTATATTTATATTTATTTTTAATTTTTTTTTTAATTTTTGTTTATGTATAGTAGTTTTATAATTGTTAAATATACTATTTACTTTATACAATACGAAATAGACCGTCTTAAAATTTCATTTAGAAACTCAAATCCATTCCAATAAAATCTTTGCTTATCTTAACAATAATTTTTCGATTCTCTTCTTCTTCTTTTGTAACAGATAGTGATTATTTACTACTAATCGTTTAGTCGAAGCCCAGAATTCGATTAAAATATATATGATATCGTGCGAAAAGTTCTTTTGAAAACCACTTTTTACCCTTATCAACTTAATTTAAGACTTCCATCGATCATAGCTGCTTCTTCATTAGTGCGGGCACCGCTTACGCGATTGTAGCCGAATTAACAATAGCGCCCCATTCGATCCATCTCTTCGCTTTTAGGCGCCAGTTGGAAAAACCATCTCATCCTTCCAACGGAATGCACTTCCCCTTCCACTTTCTTTGAGAGCTGTTGTACTGTCTCTTTATGCGCTGAACTAAATATGTCAATGCCGCCGTATAACATCGTTCCATCGTTTGCAGGTATTCGCTGTTACCAACGCGCAAATTATTTGAAAACTTTTTGTCTCGAAAACTACCAAGGACGACTAATCGGATAGTTTTGGTTTGCCAAAAGTAGTAAGATTTTTCGCAAATGAATTAGGTCTGACATTACCCAAGCTCTGTTTGGAAGGCTACCGAGTAGATGAAGTAATTTGTCTAAATATCTCACATTACAGCAATAGAACGCGGCCCAGGGGACGTGCTAGAGCTGAATTGAATCCCACCCTTTTCTATATTGATGTTATTTTCACACAGCGCTATGACTTTGACAGAATAGCATATGCACGTATGTATGTATATTATTTGTACTGCCCGATACACTCAGCACTTTGGCCAGCCAACATACATAACTAGTATAAATACGATTAATAAGCGTAAGATCGCTATCAAAGTGTTTATTTAATTCGGTCAAACACCACAATCAACATTTAACTATTCGAAAGTCAACGATGCCATCGACTCTACGTTGCTGTCTATTTCTTCTGCTCAGCTGTGGCTTATCCAGCTTATCCAGTTTTCCACAACCCTCCCATGCGCAGCCATTGCAGGAGGGTCGCATTGTGGGTGGTCAACAAACGGACATTACACAATACCCCTACCAGGTGTCCATACGACTCGACTCCTCGGTGTTGATTCACATTTGTGGTGGTTCAATTTATGCGCCACGCATCATTATAACAGCGGCGCATTGTTTGAAAGGTCGGTATGCGTCAACAATACGTGTTGTAGCGGGCTCGTCCACCATCGCTGATCAAACGGAACAGGGTGTGGCGGCCCAGAAACTCATCTATCACAGTGGTTATAAGAAGAAGACGCATTCCAATGATGTTGGTCTGATAATTTTGAAAGAGTCGCTAGTTTACTCAGACACAGTGCAACCCATAGAATTGGCAGCTGGTTCGACTAAGGTTGGCACGCATGCTATAGCCACTGGTTGGGGTAAGGACGAGGCGAGTGCGCAGCAAATGTCAAAACTTTTACAAGCAGTTGAATTGCAAATAGTCGACACTTTGGCATGTGGTGTGCAATATGCCGCAAAGAATTATGTTATCACAGAGGAGATGATATGTGCAGGTGCTGAGGATGGTGCGAAGGATACATGTCAAGGCGATTCCGGTGGTCCATTGGCGGTGGATGGTAAGCTGCTTGGTATTGTTTCGTGGGGCATTGGTTGTGCTCAGGCATATCCTGGCGTATACGCGAGTGTGCCGTATCACACTGAGTGGATTGAGGAACAGGCGGCGGCATATTTGTGAGGGACGTGGTTTTGTAAAGAGGACGAGGTAGGAAGTGAGATTAAAGAGATGCAGGTTTATTTTTCGTGTTTTCATTTTTTACAAACGATCAAAGGCCAATGAACAAATTTACATATATACATATATGTACAAACTTATTTTAAAACGTTTTAATTTTATTAAAATGGTGTGATGAAAATTTCTTTAAAATAAATGTTATGAATTTTACTTCCTTCGTTTTAAGTTTTTTCGCTATTAGAAGTATATAGATATGTTTATCATAATTCAACAAGAAATACTTCTTCCAACGACAATACTTCTTCTCCCCTCACTGGATAAGGAAGCGAAGTGTATGGGTCTGGTAATGAGCGAGGACAAGTCAGCAGCCATCGCATTCGCGACTCGACTCCCACTGCGCTGTTGACAGTTTTAACTTTGAAGTCGTAGATAATTTGGTCTATTTTGGAACCAGCAGTACTACTTACAACAATCCCCGCCTTGAATTCCAATGCAGAAACACTCTTGCCAACAGATGCTACTGAGAGGGTGATTAAAAAGTAAAGTTTTCTCAAGACGAACAAAGACCAAACACAACAAGTTGCTCATCATTCCTGCGCTTCTTTACGGTGTGGAGGCCTGGACGATTATAACATCTGATGAGTCGGCGTTTGAGTCGGCGTCGAGTGAAAGCGTTCAGAACTGCGAATATCGTAGCCGATGAACAATTAGCGGCTCAAGATGTATGGCGATTTTGAAAATCTTCAGTGAGACAAGAGACAACGGCTGTACTGGCTAGGTCAATTGCTCCGGATGGATGAGAATCAGGGGAATCTGATGAAGAGGAATATCTTCACTCCTTTGGAAAGACCAGCTGGAGAAGAACCTGGCTATACTTAAGTATTTCCAATTGGCGAAAAAAAGCTTGTTAGTGTGCTGTTTTTAATTTGGCTATAATCGCGTAAGCGGCGCCTACGTAAACTAAGGAAGATGAATTAAAGTACTAAAACTATTATGGACGCAGTAGAACATGAAAGAGAGAGTCCACGGTTTTATTTTATAACCAATGTTTTTTTTCTTATACGGTATTATTTATTGTCACTCATTGGATTTACTGTACTTTTCCTATAACCCACGTTCTAAACCACGACACATTGCAATACACACCTGGATATTTGGGCTGCCCACAGCCAATACCCCAAGAAACTATGCCAGTAAGTTTACCATCAACTACCAATGGTCCACCGGAATCACCCTGGCATGCATCCTTGCCACCTTCAGGCACACCAGCGCATAACATTTGATCCGTTTTATCGTATGGCGCATATTGTTGCCTACACACATCTTTATCCACCAAAATGACCGTCACTTCTTGTAATATTGGTGCTGGTAATACACCACCCTCAGATGTTGTACCCCAGCCAGTTACAATGGCTAACGAGCCGGTTTCAGGTGTACTCTCAGCCAATGTTATCGGTTTTACTTTCTCACTGAATTGTAGGCGTACTTTTAGCTTAATTAAAGCAATATCATAATTAGCGGTAGTTGCATTGTATTTTTCATGTTGGATAATGTAATCGATGAATACGATCGGTACGAGTTCTACTAGCGACGTTATGCCGTATTTTATGAAGTAAGATTGTGGTTCCGTAGGTTCTACACAATGTGCGGCTGTGACCACATAATAGCCATTGGTCTTATTGTTCTCGGTATCAACAATTGAGCCGCCACAAATTATTAAGCCATTATGGTAGAGCGATATCTGATGTGAATGATGCCATATGCTCGTACTCGAGCCGCCAACTATACGGCCATCAAATGGTTGGTGATGTTTGGTGAAAACTACAGCATTTGCGAGGATCAAGAGAACTGCTTTAAGTGTTAAAGGATGATGCAACATTGTATTATAAATATTTTCCTTACTTTGATATGATAAGTCTGACTGGCTCTTCGCGTTTGTGTTTGCGCTTTTATATGCAATTGGAATTTCTGCGCGTTTTATGTGTTGCGTTCTATCGACCGCGGCGTAGAGCTGAGCAAAATTTTGTCTTATCTCCGTATATCTCTCAACCCATAAAAATATTAGTACAGATGGGTTACCCATCGCAGACAATCAGCTTAACCAGCAGGTCAAGGTTTTCAGAGTGAAGATAAGGCTTTTAGATCAAGATTTGATTTGGGCGATAAAATAGAAAGATGTCAATGACCTTGCGAACAAAACAGAATTTAATAAATTGATTTCGTTGTGTGGTAAAAAAAAAAAACTGTTTGATATCCTTTTTGCCCAAAATCATCAATCAAATGGCCTGCATCGATTTCCCGATGGTTTTGCGAGTTTCGGGTTTAATTTCCTTACGAACACCTCTGTTGACTTTCATGGTTCCAAAATTTTATTTGTACCAATGAAATATAACAAAATTATCTTATACGAGAGGAGTTGACATTTCCTGCCGAAGGCGTCCATGAACAACAAATAATAATTATTTTGTAATTAATTATCTTGTTAGTGTTTGATGTTCATTCGAACCGAACTCGAACCATTGACCACCTACATGATAGTGCGCACTGCTAGCCAATCGACTAAAGCGACCGTACATACGTATTTCGAAGATTCTCGAAATTTGTGGAAATCAAATTATTTATTGAAAGTTACACAGGTTGTCTCTTTCTATCTCATAAGAGAACAGCCTTTTCCACTGCCAGCAGTTCGTGCATATAAACCAGGGTTGCTATTGCGAGCGTTGAGAGCCCGTGTCATGTGCGAAAATAATTTTCGAATTTACCCAATTTAGCAGTGTGCCATATTGGGGGAAATTAACGTTTTGTGTTAATATTTAATCACATACATACAAACTAATTTAATAACATGAGTTTAGGTAATAGACGTGTTTTATACACATGAAATCTATTATGAATTCCTTAGGCAAAGTCAGCAAAAATTATAAATGGCATGACATAAAGAACATGTTATGCAACCCTGTGCTCTTTTACACACACACACACACAACCAATCTGCTTCGTGTTCGGCACAAAGGGAAAGAAAATTGTAGAATTTGAAACGAAGCATTGTAAAGTAAAGACGCGTTTTACGTCGAAGAGCTTAATATTGTGCGCTTTTAATTGATTTTCAATACGTTTAATTGCTGAATATTTGCAAAATAATTGAAAAGCTATCTTTTGTAAGAAGTGTAAACAGAAAACTACAACAAAATGTCGCTATTTGGCTCATTAATGGGAGATTTCGATGATGACCTGGGTATGATGGGGTAAGTTTATGGCTGTGCAATAAAACTATATGATTTTGGGTGCTCCTCTGAAGCTGAAAAAATAAAAATGGTATTAACTGCGGAGGCATGTGTATCTGTTTATGTGTATGTGATTGTTATGCTTCACAAAAATGTGTAGTTGAAAAAAAAATTCATTTAAAAAGCTTGAGGAAATATCGGAAAAATGTTCAAGAAGAGAAAATTTCATTTTTTCACATTTGCTTGCACGCTAGGGGGAACATTCAAGTGGAAATATTCAGTGCGCACGATTGAGATCAAATGATTGATGTGTATATTACAAAATATAGTTAGGTGGGCTATAAATTGAAAAAATTCGTAACTTCATATTTGAAACCGGCTAGAATTTATCACATGCAATTTGTTTTATAATTAATTAATATTCCACTTATGTATGTATGTGCATTGGCACCTGAAAGTAAAGATCTATTTCAACTGTTCATTGCGGTAGAAAATCTTTTCATCAACTAATACAAATGCATGTACATATATACGTATATATATAATACGTCAACGGCGACGTACACGACGACTACACAACGGTAATCGTACATCATGAAAATCGATATAATTTCTTTTATTTTTCCACTTGCTTTTGGGGAAATTGTAACACTTATTTCCCTGATGGCACAATCATCTTCTCAAGTCTTTCACTCTAGATTTTGCAAATGGTTTCGTTGCCGGTACTTGTTTGGAGAGCATTTTATTTATTTTATTTGTGTATTTGCGAACAAGTGTGTTTTAATAGTTTTGAGCTAATTTAGCAGCTGAGTATAGTATTCATTTCGAGCTTAGGGTGAGCAAGAATTAAATGTTAATTATAGAGTATATGTAATGAAACTTGGTACTAAGGGTGTCAAAGGTTACTTATTGATTATATTCATACCTTTTTCTTATCGAATTTAGTCTAATTACACAAACTAAATAATGTAGATCCACAAGAAGATTAACTATAGTACATTCGAAGAACAGACAGTATTAGTGACATCATCACAATTTTTAAAGCTTAAATAGTTTTGTAGCATTTTAAGGAGTGTGCGATATTTGAAGAAAAAACCAGGAGAAGTTACAATTATTTCTATAAATAATGATAACAATATGATTAAAATAAGGTTAGATAACAATTTTTTTTGTATATTCATTTAAAACTCCACAACAGAAAACTTCTCCTTGAACGTAGTAAGCAGCGAATAATATTCTAATAAAAAAACAATTTGGGCAGAGTAATTTTGTTTTAGGAATTTCGCTTTATATATAATCAACATATTTTTTTGGAGTAAAAATTTTATCTGTGAAAATGCCTGCCGGCGCAAGAAGACGGTCACATACGTATGTGATATTTGCACATTTTTGTTTTTCTTTTTTCTTTATATTTTTTTTTTTTTACATTATCACACTAAACTAATTTTAATTGCATTAACTTCAGCAATCACATGAATGCCATGAACATGCAAATGCGCCAAATGAATCGTTTGATGAACTCATTCATGCCTGACCCATTCAATATGCTGGCTCCATTCGATGCAGGCTTCCAACAGAACGCGCTCATGGAGCGTGCCAATACACATGCTGGTAACCCAATGGGTGGACTTTTTGGTTTTCCCGCAATGCCAAATATGAATCGACTGCTGAGTGCGGGTAAGTAACGTATTTGCATGGATATTCAATATATTTGAAGAAGAATAATAATAATTATAATAATGTACATATGTATGTATACAAAAATGTATATTATAGATATTGGCGCACCAAATGGAGCTTCTTATTGCTCCAGCTCCGTTATCACTATGTCCTCTGGCCCTGATGGTCGTCCACAAATCTATCAGGCCACCAGTAGTACCAAGACCGGCCCAGGTGGCATACGTGAAACACGTAAAACAGTGGAAGATTCAAGACGTGGCATGAAGAAAATGGCAATCGGCCACCACATTGGCGAACGTTCACATATAATTGAAAAAGAACAAGACTTACGTTCGGGTCAATTGGAGGAACGTCAAGAGTTCATAAATTTGGACGAAGATGAAGCAGAGGATTTTGATCGTGAATTCACCAATCGTTCACGTATGAGTGTACGTGGTGCGCGTCCACAAGAGATGATCACAATCGAATCGGCTGATGATGACGATGATACACGTGCGCGTCATTATAGCAGACATCACGGCAGTGGCGGACAGCATCGTAGACATTTACCAGCATTGCCCGCACCACCACAACAACAGAATAGGTAAGTCGGTGAATACCTTGGCTTCATCATTAAAGAAGTTTAATTGATATTTGTTGTATTTTATGATTTTGAATTGGTGTGTGTATGCTGTAGGCTGTAGGCAGATGTATGCAATTTTTTTTTAAAGGTGCCAAATGATTGCACTAAAATTTATGTGCAAGTTTTCTGGCAGAAATAAAACGAACGCGTACATTTGTTGTTTTATTTTCATTACTATTATTTTTATGTTTTCTTGAAAAGGATACAGTTGAGCGTTTTGTTGTTTAAAAAATTATATAAAAAAAGCGTTGTTTCTGTTATTTTTTTTAAATTGTAATTGTCATTTCGTTTTAATACTCACATTAAAAATAAACCAACTTTTAGTGCTTAAACTAACATTATTACTTAAGATTTGAAAAAATAAAAGATATGTTTGAAAATAAAAAAAAAAATCCTCGTAATCCTCTCCTTTTCCTTTCCCAATTAGCCAAGTGCTTTGTATTTATGCAAAAAATTACATTATTCAAAATTCACCTCAGTGTTGTATTTTGTGTTTTATCGCATCCAATTTAGCTTAAAATTTTCCCAAATATTATATTTTGTCATAATTTAACCTTGAGTTTTTTAAGCTATTTTCGCTTTTCGTACTCAAAAAATTCACTGGTTTACTGAAAAAACGAATTGTTACTTTATATCTACTTGCAGATATGAAAAAAAATAAGAACCAAAAAAATATTTAAACAATGAAACTTGATTGATTAAGGATTGAATAAAAAAACTTCGACTAGCATAACTACTCCTACTGCTACTACATACTACTAAAAATGTATATGTACATAATCTATATATATATATATATATATGTAACCAACTACCGCTATCCATTCCCAGAACTCGAAAACAGTATAGAAACTGCAAGCAATAATCATAAGACAATTTTTATCAAAAAGCTAAAGAATAAATGCATATTAAACATACATTAAATTGATAACATCAAACTGTGGCTCTAAATACAAATAAAAATGCTTGAGTTGATATATACAGTTTAAACACAATCAATTTTAACATTAATAACTAAAATTGCAAAAAAAAAAAAATATTAAAGTACGAGTTTTTGAAATTTCACACCAAAACTTCCTTAAAACTGCTACTTCACACACTGTATGACTAACAGTTAAAGCGCGTAAATGTACTAAAACTAAATTATATGCGTACCATAAGAAAGCAATATTTTCGACACTCACAAATTCGAGGTAGGCCATTTTGTAAATTAAATAGTATTAAATTTTTTTTCTTTAGAGATTCTATGATTGTATTTATTTCTCTCTATTTCTGTTGGTAGTTAAAAGTTTGTTTTAATATTTCTTTGTACCAATTAGCGTTTATTAACATTTCTCGAATTATATACTTGTTAAAATTAATTTCAATATATATATATTTTTTTTTGCTGAACCATGTTTGTAATTTTATCATTTATGTAGAGCTCAATATAAGTTATGTAGTTCTATGTTCATATACTTCCCGCATTTGATTATCAAAATTTCGTATAAAAGTTGAAGAAAAGTTATTTGAGACATTTTTCGAAAACATGATTTATTTAGAATTTCATTGAAAGAAAGTCATGCTTTCAAAAGATGTCATAGAAAGCTGAATTGGAAAGATTTATAACTCAAAATTGTGTTTTATGGAGAACATATTTGCTTTGTTGCATATTTTTAGGCGCGGAGGCTTGTTTAATTTTTACACGATGCAGGATTCTAAATATTTTTAGAGTCGTTGTGTGACAATTGTTCAATTTTAATTAGTCAACTTCTAAGCACAATTCGAAATTGATGCTTTCATTTCGGAAAAAAGGGAAAAATCAAAAACTTCTAACCCGAAAATTTACATTACAATTTTAAGAAATTAACATTTTAACTAAATTTAATTTAACATGACAACATTTATCAACTTCGCTAAAACGACACGCCCTATTTTCTACGTAAATAAATTGCAAACAATTTCGCTCACAAAAAAAAAAAAAAAAAAAATGAACAAAAACATCACCACACCACCAACAAATTTACATTTTTTAATAAATGTGCTTCCAAAACGTATTCACAATTTTCTTCGAACTTTTCCTTCGCACTACGTTCCAAAAACAGCTCTCCATTGTCCACCTCATCATCGGTCGAAACGTTGAACTCCAACTCTAATGACAAACAGCCGACAAAGCGCGTCGCCGCCACCACCACAAACATCAATAAGGCTACATTAACAACTGGTAGTAAGATTAGAGAGGACGCCGCCAACACCACTAACAACAACAGCTACTTGACATCATCTTCTGCAACACGTCGCTCGCCAGCCGCCGGCTACCAACGTGGCATTTCAGCGCGACGTCCATTGCGTACACCGCCATCGTCACCCCTTGCCACCGCACCGACCAATCATAGCCACAGCACAGCGCCAACGACAAGGTTTGTGTCACAAAAAACAATAAACAAATGAAAACCAAAATCAAAATTGAAAAAAAAGCAATCAAGACCATCAAATTTGTAAAGTACAAAGGCGTAAAACTGAAAAAAAAAGAATATAAAAGGAAATCATTTTTATTACCCTAAACAAATTTGCGAAAATGGCGCAGAAAACGCAGCATTATTTCCCACACCGCGATACATAATCAAACCTCAGCCACGAAATAGGCAAACAATCTTGCCATCAGAGTTTTTTCGCGTTTGTTTTTAATTCATTTCGCCATACGTGTACCTTTCTAATACTAAAAAAATTGAAGTACGTGTATTATAATCGCTTTCCCTACGATGTGTTAGTGTTTTGAAAAACCATTGCTTATTTCTTTGAATTCTGCGAGATTTTCCGACAATGTAAGAATCGTTTTTGTTGGAAATCAAAATTTTATGTTTAAATTCATTTAAGCTCTTTTGAATAAAATTTCACTTTATCCTTTTATACTTCGTTTCGTTTTATATACATATATTTTTTTATTGCATTTTGAAATTTTTCGTAGTAGGCTGTATGCTGTTGCTACTTTTTATTATCCAAAAGTTTTATATTTTTACAGTTTAATTGCAATTCATATTATTTCGTTTAAAAAAAACTATTTCTAAAGTTCTAAAAATTTTGAAACCACATTTTACCTCTTCAAATCTTTTTTTAATTTTTCTGCGGACTTATTTAGTTTCAACACTCGAAAAAGTTACCCAAACTTGACATACTTTTGTAAATGTTTAATATTGAAATTAATTAATTTTGTTTTGTCAAGTTTATTATTTAATTTTTAACACTTTTTTAATTCTTAAAATCTATTAAATATATTTTTTAAAGTTGAATTTTTCAAATTAAGTTTTTTAATTTTCCAAATCTTGATTTTTCAATATACTTAAATATGCATTAAAAAAATTTAATTTTTTAAAATATATCAAAAGATCACTTTTTTCACTTATTTTTTTTACACTGTTATTACATTTTTAATTTTATTTATAATTTTATTTTTTTAACCTTTTTCAAACTTTTTTGAATCTTTTTTCTACTTATGTTTTCAAATACGTTTTTATTTTTTATTTATTTTAAACATTTATTTATTAATTTTTAAATTTTACAAATTTATTTATTAGTTATTTAATTTTTCAAAATCTTTTATTTATTTATATTTGAGTTTAAAAATTTTCTTTAATATTTTGAAGTTTTTAGAATATTCACATATTGCTTAATTTTCGAATTTTATAATTTTCATTTATCTGTATACATAATTTTAATTTTTCCTTCATTTTTATTTCAATTTTCAGAAACTTGTTTGTTTAAACATAATTATTATAATTTCTTAATTTATTATTTTTTCACGTAACGTTATTTATTAAACGTTTTTTAAATTTTTTTTGTTTAATTTGTTAATTTTTTAAAATCTTTTATTATTTAAATTTGAATTTAAAAATTTTCTTTAATATTTTGAAGTTTTTAGAATATTCCCTTATTGCTTAATTTTCGAATTTTATAATTTTCATTTATTTGAATACAGAATTTTTTTTTTCTTCATTTATTTCAATTTTCAGAAAATTGTTTGTTAAAACATAATTATTATAATTTCTTAATTTATTATCTTTTCACGTAACGTTATTTATTTAACCATTTTTTAGTTTTTTTTTTGTTTTATTTTAACCCTTTTTAAATCACATTTATATCCACAAACTCCCAATAATAAAAATGATGCCATTTGACGTTTCATTTTTTCATCATCAATAAATCTTTCGCCCTAAAGTGGGCGTATTCAATTTCATACTGCTGCATCTTCCTTAATAAACGCATGTATCTGCTTAAAATACATAAATCAAACAATTTTTGCTTCTTCAACTTCGACCCTCACCATTTTTAGTTTATTGTTTTTTTTTTTTTTTGCAAACCAAATGAGAAAAATCATTGAAATTAAAAATTAAAATCCGACAATAAATTTTCACTCAACAGAGATTGGCGTCTGTATAATCCACGTTTTTATCGCACAAATAAATAAACAAATAGCATCAAAGCAACAATTACAACAACAAAAACACTACAATGAATCGTGAACTTGAAATAAAATATTATCATACGTAAGCAAATAAAATACAACAATTACGGAAATTTATGGAAATTGCAAGAGCAGAAGAAGAAGGAAATTTTTTGAAAATACTAATAACAAGAAAAAAAAGAGGAAAATATAAATAAAAAAGAAAAATGTACATGCAAACAAACAAACATACATCTGAATGGCTTTTTAGCAAACGAACATACAACGAATATTTGCAATAAACGAAACGAAATTGAGAAAAAATTAATATAAAGAAGAAAAAAGCAAAGAAAAATTAAATGAAAAATGCAAAAAAAAAAGGGTGCGGAAAAGAATGAAATTGTATATACATTGAATGTCAATCAATTAGCGCTAAATAATTTATTTGCATAGTTAGTGAAAACCTTGCTGATGTGCCTTTCATGGCAGCCATAACAAGTGAACTTGAAAAGAAACTAAAAAAAGACGAATCTACATAATGAGGAGGGATGATATGTATGTTTTAAAAGGCATTACACAGTGTATTGAACGCCGATATAGATTATCAAATTTATGTTCAGTTGAAATGACACCCGAAAGAAGCTTATCACTCCCAACTCTGAATCGCATGCGTTGATTTGGACAAACAAAATATTCGAAATTACTCATAATACTTGCGCACCACTTTTCCTGCTGCCAACCAAGACACTTCTGCGCGACTGCCTTATTATCAATGTGGTTTGTGTAAATAATGTTACATTTTGTGGCTTTTTATGCGTTAAAATATTTTTCAGCTCTATATACATATATATGCTGGCGATAGCTTCATTAAATACTAGATACAAAGGTTATGAATTCCTTTTGCCATAAATGAAAAAAAAAGAAACTGAAAAATTAAGAATTATGTATGCTGCTGCCGCTTTATGTCGTCGTCCTCCCCGTCGTCGCCAGTTGCTGAGAAGCCTTTGCTGTGCTTACTGCCCTGCTTAATATCTGTATATATACGCTGCTATAAAAATATGCGTTTAATTAAACCACAAATAAGTAATTTAATGAATCAGCGTGCAATAAAAAACAGTACTAATTTCGAGTGCAAATGGGGTACGGTGCCGCTAAGAACACGCACGCTCCTGCCACTCGAAAGGAGTAATAATTGTTTTGGAGTAGTGACGTGACTGTGTGCTGGCCCGGATTCGTCATGACTTCCAACTATGCGTAATTCAATATAATATATACTATATATGTATGCAAATATATACATGTGCGCCGGTGTTGGATGTACGTTAATTGTGTTTGGTGGTGGCATTTTCGCACGTCGTTTCCCAATATTTGCGTGTTGAAAATCTGTAATTTAATATATACGCTGTGTTTACGTATATAAGTTTATTTGTGTTAGCTCAAAAAAAAGAAATATATAATTTAAAATATTTTTATAGCAATAAACGAGTTCAACTGACAAGTGTTGGGCGAAGAATTTAACAAAAAATACATGCCAACCGGCCTTTTCTCAGTTTAAATGTGTTTTTTCCAATGGAAAAAAAATATAAATATCAAAATTGTCCTTAAAATTCCTCGTCGTCAATGGTTTAACATATATTAAATTTACCTCATTGCTCGTGACATAAATTTACTGTAAATTGACAATTTAAAGTTTAGTACTTGATAACAGGTGTTAAAGGGTTCAACATAACCTTAAAATAATTGATTATGTGTAAATTTAAATATAAAGCGAAATTAAAAGTTTGCTAATTTCCAACAAAAATTGAAAATAGTTGTAGAAAAATAATTTTGGCGGGTTGTAAAGCTTTTCAATATATTTATCAACTTATTTTAATAAAAATCGATTTTCTTGTTTCATACATAACCTCAATATATGCTTAACATCAAAATTTTCAGACAAATTATCGCTTAGAAAGTAGTCACACTTTTAAGTAAAATAACGGCAAAATTAGCGCACTTAACAGTTGTTGGTTATTAATGAATTGAATATCACATCAACGAATTACATGGTTGACTGCGCTAAGTTCGCTGTACAGATAATCTACATAGTCAAACCTAATTGGTTGACGTTGGCTTGAGTGGTTAGAACATTCGTGAGTTCAGTCAGGATCCATGAGAAGTCTGTAGAATAGATGTGGTGATATCTCCGAAACAGTTGTCACTTCAAACAACTTCGCGCACTAAGTTATAAGAAAAGTTAATAGTTGTAAAAAATTATTTTTCTTGAATATTAAAAATTGTCAATAAATTTACTTTAGTAAAAATCGGTTTTCATGTTTTATAAATAACCTCAATATACATATGCTTAACCTCAAATAGCCGTGTGCTGACAATGTTTTCAGATTATCTATATATTTATACTCGTATTTTCTTTATCGCTGATAATCCGAAGAATATCACTTTACGTGCTGTATTTTTATTTCTTGTTTTTCATATACCCCTGACCCCATCAAATGTCATTTGCTTGCCGCCTGCCTGCGTAATCGTTCGTTTGCACGCCCTCATGAAGCTAATTGTTGTTAAATTGCTGCATTTCCTATATTTGTTTTAAATTTTATTTGTGTTTTTTTCTTTCTATTAAATTTTTAATTTTTTTTTTGTTGTTCTTTTGAAGTTACTTGTTAGTTTTAATCCTATAAAATCGTTTCTCCATTTGTAAGTACTAATATTTATCTTTTTTCGAATTATTTTTTCTTACAGTGTACACCCCCATCCATATAATGCCGCGGCTGCACGACGTAATTATCGTTCGAAACATACTAAACAACATCAACAACCACATCAGCCGCAAACATTGACCATCACTGAGATAATCGACGATGATGATGATGAAGATGATGTGGTGCAGACACCAGCAGGAGCAGTAATCGTTGAGGAGGAGGAGGACGATGATGCAGCAGAAGCCACAACAGTGATCAATCCAGCAGCAGCCGCAGCAGCAGCAGCAGCAGGTCACGCCACAACGGCAAATGCAACAACTCATACATCGACTCAACAACACTAAAACAAGAATCATACAAAAAATATTCTTATTACATACATACATACATACAAACATATAAATAATATCTAATAAATGGCGCGTGGGAGTATGTGTTGTAAACGCTAAATATGTATGAATGAAGACGTACGTCGTACATAATATTTTAAGTAGAGTTGATGACCGCGTTGATAATAATGAAAATGTTCAAAGGAATTTTTTTTCGTCGTATTGGAGTACTGATTGATGAGGCGAGTAGGCGAGTAGCGAGTAGCAGCAGCAAGCGCTAGAATTTTAATTGCATAGTTAAATAGAGGGAAGTGAAGCCAGAGAGGAATATGTAGGATCGTAGTGCATACGCATATTAGGCAGTTGAGTTGCGTATATTTTTTTGTTTATAGATTTTAAAGCTATGGGGGCATATAATAAACACAACAAAATGTTGAAATCAATAAAAGCAACAAACAAGCGAACATTATAATCTACCTTAGGATAACACTTAAAACCCTTCTTATCATTTATCTATGTATCTAGTATTGTAATACATGAAAACAACATGAAAACAACATCAACACTTTCTAATATTTCAGAAATCTCTAACTCGCGCAATGCAGGGCAAAAAATAATTTGAGAAATAAAAACATTCTAAAGCAGTTGATGAGTAATGACGAAATCTATATATGTGAAACAACAAATCTAATAAATTTCTATTATTGATTTTGCAATGGTACAATTACATAACATTGACATAAATATATGTGAAATAATGCTTTGCTTTGCCGTAGCTGCTGCTCTATTCAGTGCTTATACAATTTTATTCATAAATTACCCAAATCCCTTTAAATATAAACAAAAAACTTTTTGATTTCCTTACATATATTACATACATACAAACATACATATATTAAACAATTAATAATATAATATAAATTCTAAACTTTAGCTATGTATTACGGAAAAGCATATTTGGGATTTTTTTTTTAACAATGCCATTACAGAAAATGTTATTCGTTTGATGAAATATGAAATATACATATATCTAAGCTATTGATACACCAGAAAATATAAACAATTCAATATTATATAATAACTGACGGTAAGCTTCCAACAACAAACATTAATGCAAATTGTAGATTTTTTCCCCTGCACCTAAGACATTTTGGAAATTTCGCACGCAGGCAGCCAATTTTTTTTCCAACTTAAAACTAAAAAAATAAAATATTTTAGTTTATTTATTTTTTATATTTAAATAAATGACAGTTAAAAAGCGTTTTGAAAATAGAAATTTTGAAAATCCGGTATATTAAAAAAAATTCTTTGAAAAAAAAATTAAACAAAAAAAAAAAAAACGTTTGTAGAGCTGAGCTGCAAAAGCGTGCGTCAAATTGCAATTTCAATTTAGGTAAACAGCGAAAATAGTTGTGTATAGAAAGTTAATGCATAGTTAAAGCGCAGGAAACAAATCAAACATTCTTAGACTTAAAACAAATCAATATAAATAGTAATCTAGCAGTTACAAAATTATTATTTATATTTTCTTAATTTTGCAATATATTGAATTATTTGTAAATTTTAGTTTGTTTATTTTTAAATCAAAAAATAAATATTTTAGTAAAACAATATTTTTTAAAAAATTTTATTTAGAATTTTGAAAACATGTTTCGAAAAGAAAACTTCAATAGTACTTGTATTTTATTTTATTATTCCGGTTATCGATAAAGTAAATCACCGACGTTTAAAATATTTTTATCAGAGAATTGTAAGTTTGTTCATTTTTCCATAAATTTGTTTGGGTAGCACTTATTAAGATCAACTACAGTGTAGTCAATATCATAAGAATTGTAAACAGCTGAATTATAGAAAGAAAGAGAAGTTCGATTCTAATAAAATAATAAACGAATAATTACCATCAACCCAAAAAGAGAAACGAGTTTTTATTCCTTTGAAATATATTGGCTATTTTAAGAGAAACTGCACTAATTCGAGTATGTAAAACAAACTTTGCTTAATTTTAGGCTCATGTCTATGCCGTCTTATAAATTGGTGTTTATAGAATACATTCCTAGCAGGTTTTTAGGAAGCAAAGCAATTTTCTTGTGTGATCTCTATTAGAGATTGCGTGTATGACTATTTAAAGAGTCACAACATACCAATTAATTTAAATTTGAGCTGAGTTGACCCCAATGAGTTAACGAAAAATTAAACTTTTCCTACCCACAAAATGCAAAATGCCTATCGCCCAGTTTTGTTATTTAAAATTTATTCGAAATAATGCTAGACTTATTGAAAAACATTCACATTTACAGCAAAAACTTAAAACTTAAATTTGAACCTTCCATTCAAACACATTCAATTACGCTCCATGCGCGCTTCCGATTCACGCCAATTTCGTTTGATCATTTCAACAATTTGATTACACAAACGCGATTTGGCGAAATAATTTCCCAAGCACAGCAAAATGAATGTCCAAGCTAGTATGAGCACATAATCAACTTGCGGTACTGGCTGCACTGGTAATGGTCCAGTCACTTCAGACTCTTTCGGCATTGGTTCGATGTGTTTAATGCCAGTGTGGCGTGTCACAAAAGCATGGAAACTGTCGCTATAAAATTTAACTACTGGACGACCTTGATGGAATAGCAACAGCGTTGGCAAACCCACTATGCCGAATTCCGTGTTGAAACTGGGAAATTGAAAGGCATCTATAGCGGCAAAACGTAGTGTGGGGAATAGTATGGGCAACATATTGGCGTATGGTGCAACAAGTGAACAACCCAAACTTGATTCGGTGTAGAAGAGCACAATAACGCAACTGCCCGGTTCATGACGTTTGGTGGCATTGCCTATTGGTTTTAGTAGCGCTACTATATCTTTTAAATTTTGCATTATTAAGAGTGTATTGTCATTGCGTGTGGCATTTTCATGACGTTCCGGTTGCAGGCAACGCACCATTATTGGTGGCTTGCGTGCTGGTTCCGTAATATTACTAGGTAGTAGATGCAATATATAGTAATCATCGGCTGCGCAGTATAAGCGTTCGTTATATGTTATATATGACAGGAAATTGTAGTGAGATTGACCGCGTGAGATGCCCAGCTCATCTAGTGTCATATCGGAGATATCCTTAGTGCGTGTGCTATTACTGTTACCATCACTGCCATAGCCGTAGGCAAAGAATTTAAAAATTGATTTGAATGCAGGCATTTCTGCGTTGACATTTTGGAGCAGCAACGCTATTGTAGTGGTAAGAAATTGTTTTATTAGTATTGTTGTTCGCATGTGTGCTGTAAATACTCACCCAAGGCTAACGATGTAAAAAACGTGCTTCTAGACATTTTTGAGTATATGCTAAACACAAAATTTCTAGTTTCTTTATGTTTATTTCTATTATGAGCTGTACTATATCCCCTATAAGTAAAATTTGTGTATCAAACAAAAAATATATGAAAAACTGTCATTTCTTCAATCAGCTGTTTGAAACTGTCAACATAAAGTAAACAAAAACACCACGTTGCCACTGAGTATAATGAAATTCATTGCAAGTAGCATGAAATTGCCGGCAGAGGGTGAACCGTTGAGTTTAAAATAAATAAAGGGAAGTAAACAAGAAACTTTGACGAATATACACCGGAAATAAATACAATATTATTTTAGTTTAGATTACATGAGTAATTGTCGTGGAGGTTCGGCTTGAGATGAAAAGAAATCAATTCCATAGCCAAAGCAGCAGCCTGATGCCTTCAGCTTCGTGAAACCAGTGAATTGAAGCCGAATTTTACAAATTTGTATTATGTAAGAAACAAAATGGCGTTGCTGTTGTCAATTTGAAGAAAAGTGTTATATTACAAAAGCAAGACACACATACAAAAGTAAGTTTGCTTGGTAGTTTTATTTCGCAACTTACTCTCCTACATTGTGTTTTTGCTTGATCAAAGATTTTATTCAGTAAATAATGCATACTCGTATGGAGGTCTTGAGGGTGCGCAAGTCGCAAAGTGTTAATATCCAGGTGTCCATTGCAATTGGGTGTAAAAGTGTTAGCAAGCGGTAGGCAATAAACACTTTGACACACTCGTAATAAATATCAAAAGGGAATGAATAAACACCGTTGTAACAATATTGCAGAATTAAATGACGCAAATGTAGTTCAATACAACAGGGCTTATGCGTATATGCAGCTACTTGACTTGCATACGTATACTTCGAGTCATATACATATGTACGCACAAATACAGATTGTTTGTATTAGTCTTTAATTTACTTATTACTATTCGAGTGAAATGCGTCGCAAGCATACATATATATAGCTCCGTATATGCTTCTACCTCAACTGACTTTAACGCCAAGTGGGTGTGTCTTGCTTTTGTAATATGTATCCTCCTTTCAATTGAATACGCCAAGACACAACACGTTACTCATATCAATTTATATGTGCAAGTGTGTGTGTGTGTTAAGAACAGCATGTAAACATGTGTTTCGAATGTCCAGCGCACTTGTGACTTAGTTACGGATCGTTTCCCACATTAATACCCACAAATCCATATATGTATGTACTTTGTTCATGTTTAAAAGCAGTCGAGGCGTGTTAATATACAATACAAGCAAGCAATACAACTTGATAGAGATCTTGTTTATATGCTTGCACGTGATATGTTTGTCAGCTCATAAGCATTCTAAGCGGAACTGTTTAATTTACATTTTGTATAGATTAAAGTGTTTGGCATTTACAATTGCAATATGCTATGTGTTTGTTACTTCGTAAAAATGGAGCGGATAAATTGGTATTTTTTGAGGTTTAAAATCTCAGATTTTTCACACAAATATTATATATAAGTTGTTGTTTCAGCCGCAAAGAAAATTTTGGGGAATTTTGCGGAAATGACAGTCCGTGGCTGGGTAAAAACCCATACCATCGCCGGAACTTTAGGTTTTAAGTCGCCTTTTACAACCGGCATGCCTCACCGGTAGTTATATATGTAAGTGTTAAGACTTAGATAAGATGTACTGACTATATTATTTTCATTAATTTTTATACAAATATCGTAGGGCATAGATCTGGCAACCACTATTGCACTGATGACAACTAAATTGACAATAACTATATTATTGTATTTAAAATGTGCAACATATAAATTTAAAAAACCATTTTGCTGACGCAAACTCGTGTTGTGGGTATATTAATGCTTAAATACTTTCTTAAAACCAGAAGTGGAATAATTGAATCTCCTTTTGCTGACGCAAACTCGTTTTGCGTGTACGACTATATTATTACTAAAATCAGAAGTGGAATAGTGTGAAACAAAGCACTCGAACTTGAACGATGGTTTTACTTGAATGCAGATACTTTAATCCTCTAGTTCTATGAACTAACCGATTACTTTATAATAAACGTACTTAGAGATTTTTCAGCGAAAAGTATTTGAAAAAAATGTAATTTTATGCACTGAGCACAGCATCACCTCTATGAAAGAAAAGAATTAAATATAAATTAAGTGGAATTATTAACTAAGGCAAAAGTTTTGGGGTATGAAGAACACTACCCCTTTTAACATTTCATTATCACGTATTAATGAATTAAAAAAAAAAACAATCCGTCCTACCGATCATGTATAACAAATTATACTCTTCGCTATGAGCACATATAATAAAATGCCTAAAATACTAAAAGAAAATATTTGGTAACCAAATTGCATCCGTACGAAATTCAAAGAAGCGCATACATATTTCCTTTCCAACCTCATTTCCATAAATCCTTCTACTTCAAATGGATTGTAATTGCTCTTGGCTTTACCATTACAATACGGCGTATTGTTATTGCAACTCTGTATTATTGTATTATTATTACTATTATTATTGTTACTATTATTATTATTTTAATTCATTGCTGTTACAGGATATGTTTCAAAATGTTACATTGCTCCTGCTATTGTTGTGTTAGTGTTAGTGTTACAATTTACGCACTGTTGCATTCTCCGAACTAGCGATGGAAGTATGCTTGTATGCACGGTTGCATGAATAGCGCAGGGCGTTGCAGGCGTAATTGTATGTGTATTAAGCAAATGTGCAGTTGCAATAATCTTCATGTGCATACATACCGTATGTATTTGCGTGTATACATAATAATGTGTACTATATGAATTTAAGCTCTCGGAAAATTTAACATATACTCGTATGCATTTACATGCATCTGTATAGATCGGTGTGTGTTTGTGTGTGTGTGTGTGCATGCTGGCTTGTCAGCATACCATTTACATGTATTTGTTTGCTATTGTCCTTGCATTGTTTCCAAAATAACTAACTAATACAGATGCATGTTTCTTTGTTTTCGTCTTTTGTTTTTGTAACAACTAAACATTGTTGGGAATTCAATTTTAATTTTCTATTTATTATTATTTTCAACAAATGTTTTAATATTTTATATTGCACATATTTACTTACATATCAACCTCCTGGGTCTTTTTGCTTCGATAATTTTGTGAGTAAAAATTCTCTGGAAAGAAAGGAAATAAATATTTATTGAAAACAATAGAAGATTAGCAAGTCGTTAGGCGAAAAATTACGGGAAATTGTTTGTTCTATCAGTTGTATTGTGGGAGTTATTGGAAATGGTATGGCAATAAGTGTGGATAAGTAAATTTAATTCATTCGAAAGATATCTTAAATGATAGAAAGTAATTAATTTAGAGATTAAATTGAAAGCTTCAAGATTCAGATTTCAAAAATATTTCTTAAAATTTTCTTATGTACTTTATATATTTTTCTTTTACATTGAATTGGGTATACAATTCAAAATCAACAATTTTTTCTAAAACATGTTTAAGTAAGTGATGGTTGCCTTAAGAAAATGGACATGTTTTATGATAAGGGTTGCTGCTGTGGTACTTCAGTTTGGCTGCTGTTAATTGATCACCTCCAAAATGCTTCCTACTCGTCTTTATTGTGACTCTAGCCCATTCCCGATGATTTCGCTTACGGGAAGACAAGTCTACTAGCGCACCTAGCCTATGTGTTACCTCTACCGACGCCTTAGATTGCGACATTGTTTCTCTGTTTCTTTTCCTTCAATACTTAACGACATCGATCTCTTTTCTAGCGCTCGATAAAATCTCTGGGGTTTCAAGTGGGTGACCTCCTGTCATTTTCCGCCTTCTCCTCTTCTTGTATTAATAATAGTTTTGACCATTTTAGGTTATTTTTTAATTATATTTCAATCTTGTATATTATTTAATTTGTATCTTAATTTAATTTATTTGTTTCTGATTGATTTAATTTTTTCTATATTTTAGTTATTTATATTGTATTTCGAATTACTAATACGTTAATTAATAATATAAAAGATTTATTTTATTTACTTATTTACATTTTTTAATTTAATTAATTTCGTTTTATTGAATTTTATTTCAATTTAATTAATTTTTATTTTCATATTATTGATATATCTGTTATATCAATTAATTATTTTAATAATTAATAATTTTTATTAAATAAAATGTTATTATTATTAGTTTATTTTATTTTTCTTTGCTTTGTTGTTACTTCGTTTTTTTCTTTTTTTAATTTTTTGGTTTAATTTTTATTTTATCTAAGTTTTCTGTTTTACGTATTTTATCATATTTTTTGATAACTTCATTAACTTCATAGTTTCTGTATAGTATATTTTATTTCAATTATATTTTATCTAACTTTTCCATTTTACGTATTTTATCATATTCTATTATGACTTTATGAGCTAATTTTTGTATAGTTTATTTTGTTTTACAAATTTGCTTTGCTTTGATGTACTTCATTCTTATTAGATTTTGGCTCTATTATTTTATTTTCATTATTTTTTATTTATTTTTTTGTAATTTTATTTAGTTTATTTTACTTTTCATTTATGTTATTTCTATTTTTTACTTTTTATGCTTTTATTTATTTCGTTATAATTAAAATTTATTTTATATTTGTTTTACTGAAATACGTTTAATTTATTTTATTTAATTTTTATTTTTCCTTTCATTTATATTATTTTTATTTTTTATTTTTCTGCTTTTTATTTCGTTATAATTTACAACTAATTTATATTTGTTTTACTTAATTATATTTAGTTTTATTTTTGTTTGTTTAATTTAATTTAGCTTATTTAATTCATTTTTTTTTAAATTAAATTTAACTGTATTTCTTTTTTTATTTTATATTTAATTAACTTTAGTCGAAAGGATTGGTACAGTGTACGCTATGGCGTATGAGTAACATTTATGGCATGCGTCTTTATTAATTTTGTTGCTCATATTGACATGGCGTATGATTTGAAATTTTTAATACATCGGAAAAGGCATTAATAAATGTTTAATAATCTTGTTTTTATAACTATTTAGAATTTAGAGCTTTAGTAGTGAATCAAAAGGTCTTACGTCTGACAGATTTTTAATTCAAATCATAAAAAAATTTAAAATTCTAATAAAAGTTTTGCATTATTTGAATATGCTATTTTATTGCACCTCTCTCTGCAATTGCTTTTACCACAGCTGTCACGTTTGAAATTTCACAATGACTCATTTTGAAAAATATTTTCCTTTCCAACATACATACAATACTTAATTACATACAATTACCTGTTCTGCTCTAGAAATTTTTCGCACAGAACAAATTACATGTTCTAAAATGACTAAAGCATATAAAATTTAAAATAACAAAATTTCAAATATACATTATGCTATGGTATAAACACGAGAAAATGTAGTCATCTATATATATACATAGTATGTATGGCCGTACATGCGATGGAATAATAATAAAAAGAACCACAAACATATGACAACATTTAACAAAAACATTTCTGTAATTACTTTAACGATTTCCGTTTGCGATAGTTGAGGGCAGAGTACATTAGTAGAACTTGTGTTTGCATGTATGTGATACATATGATACATATATACAATCATGTATGTAGGTGTATGTTTCCATATGTGAGTTTGTTCATCTATTACTTAAAATAGAAGTCATTTTTGCCGACACTTGCTGAATGCCTTCTCTACCGCAAAGTTGTCGGCAGGCAAGCAGAGATTTTTACACACGCACTCACATATATATACATGTATATTACATATGGGCAGAGTTGATGTTAGACGCATCTACATTCTGATCATATGTTTGCTTACTTACCGTATTGCATAGTTGTTGCATTATAATCTTTGTGCGCTGCTTTGCTCTGCTCTCTCAACCATAAAGTTTAATTAACATTTTATTTTCCTCTTTTTCACCATAACCTCTGCACCACCTCGCTGTGACGTCTAATACACAGTCTGTATTCGTTTGCAGACACAAAAGCCAAAGGCAACTTTTTTTTTTTTTTTTTTTTTTGGTTTTATTTTTGTTTTTTTTTTTTTTTTTTTTTTTTTTTGGTAGTGAGTAGTAAGCAGATTTCAGGCTTGCCTGTGGACGACAGTCTTGGCTATGTAAACGTGCATGTATGTATGTATGCAGCCATCTATGCATGTTTGTTTGTATTGCATGCATGCATGTTTAGTCTATTGTGTGCGACCGCATGTAGCAGGTGTTTTCCTACACATGCCGCCTACTGGCATTTCATTGGCATTGAAAAGTTGTTGGCAACACCTCAATATTTTATACTTTTGCAATTACGAGAGCTCTCCGAGACAGCGCCAGCTCGTCTATAAAGACGAGCAGCAGTTGGCAGAGTAGCTGGGTAGAAAGCTAGCAGTTGTATGGCAGCTTCCAGGCTACAACTCGTCCGCTTTATCGACTGTGTATGGCAGTGTGATGTGTCTAGGTGTATCTAAAATACGTTCGAAACTTTTTGGTATCGACTAGATGAGCAATTATTGCGGTGTGGGTACATATGTAAGTACATGTGTGTATTTGCTGAAAGATATTTTAAGTTTGACTTTGTGTAAGCTCAAACTCGCTTCATATATGCTCGTGTCAGTATGTACTTCTATGTGTGAATAAACAACCGTTCTGCTCACCTGAATTTGTCTAATTTAAAATAAAACTACTAGCTATTAATAACGGTAGTTGTTTTAGTGTTCGAAATTTTTCTATTTTACACTTCATGAATTTTGGAAATAAAATCATTTCTGTTGTAATTTATTTTCGTTTTCTTCTCTTTTTTACTGACAACTTTTCAAATCATCACTAATTATAAGTAGTTTGAAAGTAGTTATGTGCGGTACATGTAGTTGTATGTATTTTATGCTAGTGGAAAGTATTTAAGAGTTTATGTGAAATATTTATTTTAGTTTTTAATTTTAATAAAAAATTTTTCAGAAACACTTGGGGGAAGGAGAGTAAGGAAAAGCTATTTAATTTTTTCCCCTTTGGATGGTGATCTTCTTCTTTCTCTGCCTCCACCGGCGAGTAATGCACAGAAAGCTTTGAAAGCTGGAATTCCTTTGACCATCCGGACTACCTCAGGTAGCTGTCTCTTGATTCGCACAGCTGCAAATTTCATAAAATACCGAAAGCCCAGCAAGTGTAGCAAGGTCTGTTAGTTTATTATAAAATTCGGATCAGAACTATCATCCTCAGCGCCAGACATCTTTTTGTGGAGGTCATTATTACGGAAACCACAATCTTAAAATCTCAGTTGGCAATCGTATTTTCTTCGCTCTCTATGTATCAAATTCTTGGTAGGCTCTGGACGCTGGCTTTATCGGTTTATTGACTTATTTTTCTCAATTACGCTGCGTACTGAGCCGAGTTGTGCTTTTTTTTCTTTGTTTGCAGTGATTTCTTTCTATTTTATTGTCTCTTTACTTTCCGTTTGCATTTTCATTATTTGAATTTATTTTCCGTATATTTTTATTTGCAGTCTCAGCGGACTACCGCAGCGTTCTTTTGTTTATTTGTTTGCTGCGGCAGCGGTCGGTAGCTGTGTGTTTTGAAGGGTTTTCTTCAGCCTCAGAAAAAACAAAACCAAAAAAATGCTGCTGTGACTTGTCGAAACGCATCAGATAACTAAATGTCCTTTCGATCCTTTTCCTCTGCTTTCCTAACATTTTACATTGATGATCTACTCAGCGAAAAGCGTCATGGACGTATCCGTCCACACTTTATGCGCTTATCACTACAAATGCCTCTGTTTTCCTACATTTATATATACAATTTTCATTGTCCTTTCATTTGTTTAGTATTTTATTGTTCAGTGCCTTTTGTTTTTATCGCCACTGTCAATATTTATTCTGGCAATTTGACATTTATTACTTTAGTAATCAGTTGTGCGGGTGATTTGAGGGTCCAGCGGTTTTTGTTTTGTTTTTTTTTCCCTTCTGTTTTTATGCTTCTCCTATATTCGTTGAAAATTGAATTGTTTGCTTTGCCCAATTATGGTGGCGTTTATTGTTGCGCTAGGGTGTTGACAAAAGAAGGGAAAAAAATGAGATAATTATATAAAGAGCACCACTCAATGCTGGATAAATAAAGGTGGCTGACTGCCATGGAAGAGTAATCATATTGAAAGCTTTTGATTAACTTTAAGTGAGTGATTTGCCAATGAGAAGTGAGCGTGTGTTGATTTATTAAGGATAATGGCGAAAAAGGATATGGGTTATTGGTGTGATGAGGCACTTAAAATAATTAATGATTCATTTGATAAAACTTGCATATAATTTTGAAAAGAATTAATAAGCATTTTTTTGTGCATTTCTGAAATAATAATTACAACTTTCTGCGCAGAAACTTTGTGCGGAACAAAAAAAACATAAGAACAGATTTTTTAACTACTTACTACCACTTACAACTACTGTGTCACGAGCATCTAAATGCTTCTATATACATATATTAATAAATATTTTTGACAAAATTTCAGGAATACAATTTTTTAAGTACACTAATTTGTGTTTTTTTATTTATTTTACACAAAAAAAAACTTTTTTTGGTATGTTAAATAATTATTAAAAAAAGTTAAATACTTATTAAGCAAATATTTTAAGATGGCGCACGAGACCAACTTTTATATAAAAAAATTGTTAATAATATTAAAAAAATTTTTTTTGATTATTTGTTGAAAAGGCTATCACATAAATCTGAACAAATTGCCAAATTATCCAGTCAATCAATGTCACTTAAGTGCCAGATTAGCTGATAGTTTTCTAATGAGCAAACCACTTACAACAAATTCCTAAACAACAACGACAGCATAACCAGCAGTAGTAGCAAAACCAAGAAGTAAAAGCGTTAACAGCTTGAGATATGACAGCAGGAGAGCAAACAGTTCATGATTTACAAATATGTAGCATACATCAAGGCGCAACTCCAAACTAATTCAGCCAACAAGTCAAGAATATATCAGTTATGTGGATATACATGTGTGTTTGTGAGGCACATTCTGCATGAATAGTGTAAATGACATACATTAAAGCATTAACAGTACAACAGCTGCCACATTGATGAAGATCACAAGTTAGATGAAGTGTAAGCGTAGAGAGAGTACGCAAGCGGGCAAATGAAATCAGTGCAGGAATTTCACTCCACATACATTTGCACACTTTGAACCGTTATAGCAATCAAATTGTAATCAACACGCAAATGGTATAAATGATGCGCAAACTTCACAAACGCTGACGAGAATATGCTACGTTGTAAGTGTATCGCTGTTTGTAGGTATTATATGTATTTCAGGCAGCAGCCGGTAACCAATCAACGCGCTGACAACAGATGTTGCTAAGTACTCTATGCAACATTTTACGCTGCCGTTGGAGTTGCAAACACGTCGTTAGGCAAATTATCTAAAATCTTCAGTAATGGTTTTGAGGTTAAGTTGCGACGAGTAGATTAAGGAATGTATTAAAAGGTGAAAGGTTTGAAATTAGTAAAAATATACTGTGGAACAGTCGTTCAAAGGAAGAACTTTAAAGTAGAAGAAGATAACAGCAAAATAAACTAAAAAGTACCAAAAAAACTAGTATAAAATAAAATAAAATAAAATAAAATAAAATAAAATAAAAAAAAATAAAATAAAATAAAATAAAATAAAATAAAATAAAATAAAATAAAATAAAATAAAATAAAATAAAATAAAATAAAATAAAATAAAATAAAATAAATTACTTCGACTGGTTAGATGGAAATTTCATTCTTAATAATAACAAAATCCCCCAATACCATTAAAATATAATTATATATTATTATACCTCTAAACATAAATTACGGTTTACCATCAAATAAATTATTTCGAAAAAATAATTAAATTAGTAGAGACTTATTTACTTAGAAGAACATATTAACATAATCACATTAAGTTGGTTATGAATAGCAAAAGTTATAAAACGAACATCAAACAGAATTGGACACTCATTCAACAAAAAAACTTAATACAAACTATTCATTCGCGGAAAATTACACCGAAATGCAGAGTTGCTCCCGAATTTTCTTGGTGTTACTATTTTCCAATTTATATGTGAAAGTGTGCGCATCTGAGTTAAATATTTTAATAAAAAACTACACCGCAGGAATCGGCGCTGGAACCTGCATTTATTACAACTACGCCGTTGAGGCCCATAATGAGTCAAGCGAAACTTGGCAACAATGTAGCGCACAAATTGTACTTAACAAACAACCGAGCATACCATTTTTTGAGTACTTCCATTCAAATATTTTGAATGTGGTTTTCCTCAACTCAGCACCAGTAGAAACGCAATTGGAGAACTTCAAATATGCAACACAACGCTGGCACAGCCGTGATGTACTCTTCGTGGTGGCGAAAAATGGCAACAGTGCTTTGTCAGTATACACAACAGCGTATGCGCTCTTCAATTGGTGCTGGCATAATGGCTATTCTAATGTACTACTAACCGATGCAAGCGGTAATGAACTACTTACATATCAACCATTTCCGGCTGTGCGCTTAAGCAATATCACACTGTACGCGTACTTGAACAAACGCAATGCGTGGTGGCGTAACTTTTATGGGTACCCACTGCGTGCTGTCTCAGGCACACAGCCGCCGCGTGCCATTATCCACACCGATGAGCACGGCGTGCAGCAAATTTCCGGCTTAAAACCGCTGATAATAAAACTCTTTGCGGAGCGTTACAATGCAACGCTGAATTTCACCGTTGACCCAAATCCCGATTATGACTGCATACAGTGTATACCGGAAGTGCTCGATGGCTTGTATGACATTTGTGCAGATAGTGGCTTCTACAGAGCCTACAATAAGCCGCTCAGCAAGCCGTTGCATTTGGATGTTGCCTATTTTGCTGTGCGCTTTCCGCAGCCTTTAGCGAAATTCCGTTACTTTTTAGCGCCCTTCCAAGCGGCCACTTGGTGGCTCTTCATCATCACCATCGCTTACATCACTCTACTGTTGGCCGTGAGTAATTGGTATGTGCGAGGCCATTGGGAGGTGGGCCAATACTTGCTGGATGTGATTAGCAGTTTCATAAATGCGAGCGTACATGCTAATCTCATTAATGAGCGATACGGCGTTTGTGTATTCGCATTGCTCACTGTTGCTGGTTTTATAATATCCAATTATTATTTGGCCTTCCTCTCGAGCTTGCTCAGCACAAATCTCTACGAGTATCCCATTGAGAATGTGGAGGATATTATTGCGGCGAATATTACAGTACTCACCGTGCCATCGTACGACCTCGTATTACACAATTACTCAGCATTTAAGGCGTTGCGCATAAAATACATCGAAGCTGGTGCACTAAAGGTTTATCGTGATCGTTTGGATCCCGATTTTGCTTACATCAATATGTTGGATATTTGGCAGTTCTTACTCTCGCAACAACGGTTTTTGCTGCGGCCCCGCTTGAAGTTGTTGAAGAAACCGTTACTTTCGTACGTGAGTGGCATGCCGCTGCCACGCTATTGGCCCTTCGAACAGCTATTCAATCGGCATGTGCAGCAGCTGTTCGAATTCGGGTTTCATCAGTATTTCATGCGATGCACAACAGAGTTCGCAATTAAGACGGGCTATTTGCGATTTTTTCAAACGGAATATAATAGAGTGGTGCCGCTGAATCTGTACGATTTTGAAATGCCGGCATTGTTGCTGGTTGTTGGATATTTGCTGGCATTAATGGTGTTTTTGATGGAGCTGGTGTGGTGTAGATTGCAGGGGTGGAGAGTATAGAAGTAATATTAAAGAGCGTACACCTAAAGACAGAAAGCAGAGAGAAAGAGCAAGACAGAGAGAGAGAGAGAGAAAGAGCAAGACAGAGAGAGAGAGAAAAAAAATCGAACAAGAATGAAAAAAGCAAGAGACAGATTACAGCAATTTTTAGACAAAAATTGTCATTTATTGTTTTTTGGATTGCCTCGTCTCATAAAAAAGTATTGTCAAAAGATTGCCACCTGTTGTTAATTTAAAGACAAAATTTAAAATATAATATAATACTGCAATGACTGAAAAAACGATACGATTGAAAATATTTCCAAGTAGTTGCCATCTGCATGGAAACTTTGAATGAAAAGGAAACGCACAAAAACAATAAGAGCATTCAATTGAGTTTGAATATATTTTTGAGAAGAGTTTCAAAACTTTAATTCTAAAAATTTACAACAATAAGCGACGTACATCAAACTAAACAGTTTCAAAAAAAGATGCCAGATGTGAAGAATTTTTTATTTAATAAAACTTGTACTGTGAACGCGTTAAACAATATGGTCATCAAAATGTAGAAGTTTCCGAAAAGCAGTGAATGGAGATATTGTTAAAAAGAGTTGCCGCATGTCTTTAATAATTGTTTCTTTTAATTAAGAAAAGTTGTCATATGCAGTACCACTTTTAATAAAAAAATAGATACGTACGTTTCGATTTTTTTTTTAGAAGAATTGCAACGTATTCAAAATTATTTATTAGAATTCCTTGGTTAGAGTTACCTGCTGTTTGAAAACTTTGAACGAAATAATGGATTAGTTGATTTAGTTGTCGAAGAAGAATTAGAGCTAAATGTAAGAAGTTTCTAAAAGGAACTGCCATCTTATTTTAAGCTAATGAAGTTACAAAAAAAAAGTAATTTAAGGGGGTTAAGCAAGCTCAGATTTAAATATAGTTTTGAACAGAATTGCCACCTTTTTAAAAATTTTATACCCTGTATAACTGTATATGTAAAAGAAACTATTTTTAAAAAGGTGTTAAATGGTAGAGAATTCATTTAGAGGAAAGTTGCCACCTGTTTACAATTTTCAATTCAAAATTAATAAAAAAAAATATAATTTTTCCAGTTAGGTAGAAATTATTTTATAGAATTTTGAATAGTTTAAATAATAAAAATCGAAAATTGTGAATTTGACGATCAGGCACATTTTATTTATATTTAAGTATTCTAAATAAATAACTGCATAAATATAATCTTCAATACACAAAGGACTAGTTTCCGCCAATGGCCGCAGCAACTCTGATTGCCTCCGAGCTACGCAGACATATTAAATCTCTGCCACTTTTATTTAAATAAAAAAATAAAAAAAACAATAAAAACATTGGGTATGTCAACATATTGCTTTAATGAATATATTCACACCTCACAATAGTTGAAAAAATACGCAAAATACATTCATATTTATTTGCATAAGCTGATAATGCCAGCATTTTAATCCTATTTCAACACTTCGAAACGCACAAAAGAGAACGCGACGCTTCGCCATGCACAATTTACTTTGCCGCACGCCAACTCACACTTACATACAATATATACATATATACTCATCCAAAGGCAGCTACTAATGCGTACTGCTGGTATTACGAGTATTTCTCAGACAGGCAAATACATAAATCCACTAGCAGCAGACAATAAGATTGCTTGCTCTAGGAATAATGATGAGTTAAGTGTGTGGGTATGTGTGTGTGTGTGTGTGGGTTTGTGGGTCGACGGCAGCATTAATGCTTATTCTACAGACTCAGCGGGTGTTAAGCGCAGATTTTCATTTCAATTCACAGCGCGAGGACTCCGCACGTTCGTTGTGGTGAGAGTTGTTGGAGGTGGTCGCCAGACACTGTTGATATGGGTTAGTTGTTGCATTTGAATGCAACAGTGGCCATTATAGTTGGTTACTTGATATAAAAGATAAATATTCAACTTGGAGAATCGGTATGAAGATGCCGAATTTTGTGTGAAAAGTGATTCGAAATGGACGTGGTTTCTTTCTTCCTTCCTTTTTTTTTTAGAGTAATTCTATGTTACAAGACTTGACGCTGATTTTATCCATCTTCAGAAAGGCGAACTAGACCTAACGTTAATCCCAGCAAAACAGAACTTGTCTTGACTTGTAGCAGGAAGTACAGAAAGAACCTTGAAAGTAGTTCAATACTTGAAATCAGGCTCGCCTTCATTCGTCCGTGCAAGTTAAATACTCCGAAGCAATTCTATACAGGAAATCGCTCTGAAAATCGCATCGTATTGTGGAGGTGACTAGAACGGCCTACTTTAGCTATGATACGCCTTCAACATGTGGTTTTAATCAGCATTTGTGCTGCAATACTAATCACGCCGAAGTTGGCTTTAAATGCCAGGTGCGTGGTGATTGTGGATTCTGATACTGTGTCACTCTGTGCTACGTTGCAAGTTCCTTCTGGTGCGAGGTACCGTGGTTAGCCGTGAATAGAGCGGGCTCTTTTCTATTCTAAGCTCAAAATTCACACCAAGTTTTGAAACGATAATGTCATATCTTCTGGGTATCGTATCTGTAGTTCTGTGTTGCGAACAGTCAAACTCGGTTGCAGCTGGCTTGAAGGTTGTGATAGAAAGCTAGATGGAGGAGGTTTAAAAAAGTTATGTTATAAGAACAGGAGCAAAGCGCTGAACTCGGCACAGTTTGCTCTTAAAAGAGTGATTTTATTTAGTGACAATATTCGCATGTATGCTAAATTAACCGTAGAACACGTTAAAATCAAAAGTATTTATAAAAGAAGGAACAGCTGATGAGTTTTCATGATGAACATTTTATTTCATGCAAAAAATACATTCGATATTTGTAATAGAGAGGCGACCGTAAATAAAAAAATAGCTTCATTTTGGTGCGTTGTCATCTGGTTCTTCCAATTACCTCCCTCTTCCCATACTTCCACCAGCGGGTACTTGAAAACCTAAAGTGATTTAGCTGGCATAAACGCTGTCTTTCCATTCTATGAACTATTGATCAGAGTCTGCCTACAGCTTGTACATCTCACCATTTCATTGCAAAATGACAAAATCTTTCGAAAGGCCAACTTATCGTCCATTCTTCTGTACCATATAGCATGACGGGAATGATGAGGATTTGTAGAGTTCGGATTGAGTTCGTCAAGACGAGAGCAGGCAGCTACCATTTATTCGCAGAAAAAAATCCCACAAGCCATAAATTTACATTTAAATATTTGTTAACATGCAGCTAAATATTGGTATGATTGCCCAAAGTCCCGCTGCACGGACTGTCTGGCGAAAAGGACATAACTTTATGTGTCGCAAAAAAAGTTTTAATTTTTTGGTGTAAGCCAACAAGCTCAGCACTCGATACTCAGCACCATATCCTTTTCTCGCCAACTGGTGTTAAACATGGCAGAAGCTTTATATACCGTTAGCTTTTGAATAAATAATTGCTTAAGCTTGCATTTTTGTCTATATTTTTACCATTAATTCTGAGGAAAGTGGGGAAAAAATGGCTTAAGGGCAAATTCACTGTGTGGAAAATATGTAAAATTAGCAAAAAAGGTGTGGAAAATAAATAGTAATATTTTTGTAATATTTCTTGTTATTTCTACGAATTTCTAATTTAAATTCATATTTCACATACATACACACATACACACCCACAGCAATATCACAGACTTGTGGTTATTACGCTTTTTGATTGTCCTCTCGTAAGCTTGTGATTTTCTTGATTTTTTGCCGTACGAAGAATTATGCGTGAAAATAAATATTTTACCGCACACACGAGCCATTTTCGGGAGCACAGCTGCTCTGTCGTCTACTTAGAATATTTATTTCCTTTTTTTGTGGCATAATTTTGCCGCTACTCAAAATTAAATAGGAGCTGATACTCCTATGCATGGCAGACATAGCCTTAAAACACTTCCTATGAAACGCATGTGTGTGTGTGTATGTGTGTGTGTGTATGTGTGTGTCTACTTTTTCCAATTTTTCTTTCAAACAGTGGCAGCACATAATTTTCATTTTTTAATAAACAGTCGAGCGGCGGTTGTTGCTCAATATACATATTTGCATAGAAGCTAAGCGAGATATGTCGAGGTTTGTGGCAACGAGTTTTCGTGGTTTGAAGCGGTGGAAGAGCGCTAAGTCCATGGTTGTCGTGGCTAGCAGCGGCAGTCTGTAGCTTTCTAGCAAAAATTCATTGCTGACTACCTTAACGGTTTGTATTCTTTCTCTCTCTCTCTCCCGCTTTCGGTTTCTCCATCAAGCAATATTTTCTTTCATTGAATAATGTTTTTTATGAAGAGTGTTTTTTTTTTAGAAGAAATACAATACATACATATAATTTATGACCAAATGATTATCGGGCGTGCTCCTGCTCCGATTTGTGGTATCCATCTTAACGTTTTTCCCACAAAAAGTCGAACCTACTTTTTAACCTAAGAAACCTCCGAAAGGCTATTAGTTTTTATACCGAGCTTTTTACTTCGCGTAGGGAATATAATCGAAGGGCTTGGAATTCCCTTCCGAGGGGCCATCGCTGATTTTATCACATTTTTCATTTTCATTTTGCACTTTGTTTAAAAATTTGACTTTATTTTTTTTCTTTTTTGTATTTGTTATTAGCAAATTTTTTATGGAAATTACTCATTCACTCCGTCACTCATTTATTCACTCGGTTATTCCTTCATTCATTTAGTCTTTCATTCATTTATTTTGCGTGTTGCAACAGTTGCTGTACAATATTAAAATGCCTTACGTTTTGTTGTTGTTGTTGTTCTTGTTGTTGTTGTCGCACAACATATAGTCTTTGTCATGCTTCGTCTTCGCTTTCTTTGCTCGCTTCCACACGGTTGCTTTTTCTTGAGTCGAATTCATTCATTCTCGTCGCTGCGCGCGTTCAACAATGCGCGTTTATCATTTTATTTATATACATATATAAACACATATACATATGTATGTATGAAAGCGGTGTTGTTGTTATTGTATGCTGCGTATTCAGTCT